AATCTCAATTTTCCTCGATGTATTTGCTAACTTTTGGGCATTACTATCGTAGGACATCGAAATTAATATTAACGTAAATGGTCATCGTTAGTATAATATATTTAAAAATAGAATTAAGAAAGCAGAGAAAAGTAATAATATAATATACCACATGCTTCTATGAAAGTTTGTATTTTAATATAGAGTCAATAATGCATTCAAATAGTACCTAGTCCTAACATTTTCATTTAAAATATTAACTAAAAGGCGAAAATTTTGACGAATTATTACTGCGGAATGTTTATCTAAATGATCCGACGTAATAAGGACTTTGACGTCATGATCTCATGATAAATCTAGGAGTTAGCTCTGACGTATAATCCACGCTTTACGATGTAAATAACAAAAATATTATTAAGAAGTTTCTTATCAGCACAGTTAACGTCATAATTTTCGCGTGCAGTGACAATAATTAAAAAATGTATATGTTCATTCTCCTTAGACCATTTAACCCAGCTAAGCCATTCCCCTAACGTTAGTAAAATAATTGTAGAATCGAAGAAACCCAGCCTGATATTGTTTAATAAGGATACCCCGTTTACAAAGGGTTTTATAAAAAATAACCTAATTAAAAAATGTTTTTTATTAGAAAAATCTGAATCGGTTTTGCAATATAGTGGTTTTCTAAACTTTGTTACACAGCTCATTCAGCCATTCTCAAACTAGGCCTTTTACTTTTTTACTAAGCATCAATCTGTTGCTGGACTCGAAATGCCAAGATATTTTTTTTTTGTATCCAGATATACATACATAAAAGGACTTAATACTTTATACGAGGGTGAGACTGACAGTTTTTAGAACTGACCGAAGTAAAAATGCTACTAAATAAAATATTAAATATACGATTGTTTGGAAATTTCACAAGGTAAAGGTGTGTAGCGTTAAAAAACGCTATTAAAAACGCGTTATAAATGCTATTATTGTATTTAAACGTTTGGTATCGTTGTAATGTGACAAATAGTTTTTTATATCTTATTTTAGGTTACAAAACATTGCCCGAAAAAGTGCCGCTGGGTTTCTTGCTGGTTCTTGCCAGAGGTTTTTTTCGAACTAGTGGTCAATGTAAGAAATAACATTCAATAAGAATTATTTATAATCTATACTATATTGAATAAAAACTATTTTATTTTAATCTATTCTATTATCATATTGAAAAATTTTATCCTTAAAAGTAAAAGCCGACTCAAAGAACTAAGATAATTTCACATGTTAGGGTCGGTGGTCGGTGCTAAAACATAGTGTATAGAAAAACTAAAGCCTCTACTTTTAAATTTTTTGAAGTCGATTTCACTTTTTGTTAAGTTTAATTTATTACCCCTTTTGAGTGCACTAAGGAATATCGCAATCTCAATGTCACCTAATAGTTAATGATATATTGAAAACCTCCTCTATTTTGCCACATTTAGTGGTGTAAATATTTTTCAAAATTTATTCGGGACCACCTCTGGAAGTATAAACTATTAAATAAAAGAAGAATCTTCAAAATAGGTTACCAATTATCGAAGTTATCTCGTAACATAGATACAAAAGTCGAATTTAATGTAAATTAAACCTCATCCTTTTTTGAAGTCAGCTAAAAACATAACGCAGATGCGTAATGATTCCTTCCGGCATCGGATTCCTACCACTGTTACACAATGGAAGTCCATTCATACTGTTCATTACAATTTAAGGCCTGAATGACCTTGTCGAAACGGAGGCCGCAGTCCATGAGATGACAGGACGACGGGGCAAGAGATCTCGCGCGGATATATTCAATTTCGGTAAAAAAAATATTTTCACCACTTAAACGCGGAATAAAAATAAAACTCTTAAATAAGAATATTTATATTTTTAAGACCCTTTTTTGTGAAAACAACTAATAAAAACCTGTGTCGTTTTGAAGAAATTTTGCAAATTATGACAAAAATACTATTTTATTCAATTACGAACATTTATCGAATCTTTATCAGTCTTTCTATATTTTTCTTTACGGATTAAATTAACACATTTTATGATATTATTTATTCGCGCCACTCTTCAACTACCGCCTAACACTTATCAGATTCGTTAATTATTATCCAATGAGTGTACTGCAAAGCCCATTTCCGGGTTTCCTATCTACCGCCTTTTACACCTAGCACATAAGAGTGCACATTCTTGTGTTAAACGGGGTTCACATAAGCTCGCAAGACTCTTCCGTCTTTGTGTAGTTTAGATATTGAACTATATACAGAACATAATAGAATATAATATAGACATTTGTTATAATGCTATATATTTCGCGATAATTTGTGTAATTATGTGTGAAGACAGCCTGCATCCAACCAACGTGCAACGCAGCCTTCGAGACGTGAGGCAGATTAGCAGAAATCCAGTTGAATGCACATTGCATTCCTTCACAGCCATTCCTGTAGCCCAAATTTAGGGACATTTGCAATATCGCGAAATAGAATTTTCTCACCGCCTTAAACAGTCGTTAATGTACGTAAAATCATGCTTTTAATAACTGTGAACCAGCAGTTGGTCATTTAAACCGTTTGTTGGTTTACCATTACCGTCAATACGTAGTAAAATTCGCAACGCCTCATCCAGCTCGGGATAATTAATTTTATCCACCATTTCCAAGCATTTAGGTATATCACCCGCTCTTAGGACCTATAATATAACCGTAGAGATTACATATTTACATGCTGTGTTAAAACAAAAGTTACGATGATCAGTTCATATATTCATCCATAATCGGTTTACATTTTTTTCCTTAAAGTCTACACATTATTGTACATAATTACGAATTTGTATAATTTCAATATTTAATTTCGCTATTACTTACAATAAATATGTCTTAGATTAATTTTTTCGTTTGTATGAACGAGTCAGGGCATTAAAATAAAAATAATAACTTTTTAAAAACTATGTGAATTACAAAACAATGATGTATTTTCGCCGAGTTGAAATCTCACTTTGTAGTGTTTAAGTACTTCGGTGCTGCTGACGCTTTCATATAAATTTATAAATGCTGCTGATAGTATATTATGATTAAGAGGATATCCGGGTGGCAGTTAGTCCACACAAAACGTTTTCCTGTTTTCTATCTGAATAATAACGCTAGAGTAATATTCTTTTACGGTTTAATCTATTTCCACAACTGGTTATTTCCTGTTATTTTTTAATTAGGAACTTTCTAAAATTATGAAAACAGGCCAGTTATATGGCCGTTATTAAACATTCAACAATAAAATAAAAACGTACAAACATAATCACTCAAAAGTCAATAATTCATGGATTATTCTTGAAAAAACAAAGTTAGAATAGGTCCAGTTTTGGAGGCGAAAACAGGGTAATACGAGATGATGAATTTGTTAATTTTTCAAAGGCATTATCAGTCCGGGCTACAAAATCTATTGGTTACCTAGCTCGGTCGTTTGGGCACAACGCGAGTTAGAAACAAATTCATCATATTTCTTGCAGACCAGATATCCTCATAACGAAATAGAATGAGTTATATCTAACGTCACTTTTACTTCATTTCAAAAGGTTAATTTCATAAAAATAATATTAATTGATGTAACTCCGGTGTATCTGTATAACATTATTTTTTTACGCTTAGCCGTCTTAACTAAAAATAAATAATGAAATAAATATTGCGCGTTGGAAATGAACACGGACAGTGTCTTCGCGTTACAAAATACTGCTTAGCTCAGTCAGCACCCGCATTCAGAGGTTACCTGAAAAGAAAGAATTCTATAAAGCGCATACGCATTATATAATCGAACCAGTATATCTCAGTGTTTCTCAAAAGATCACATGAAGTATATGTGCTCTTTTCTTCTCTCAGTGCCACTGCAACCATAGTACGTTCGCGGAGAAGACCAGAAACTACATCTCTCGGCCATAGAAAATGAAAATAAACCGCGTTCACGGTGCAACGATATTTCATCGTGGGAATGATCGATATTAGAAAAACATCGACTCAAAAGTATCGAAGTACAGTAAATATCGAAAGAAAAATATCGATGTCCGAATACATCGATATTTGGAAGCAAAATCTAGGATTATTTTGTTTATTAAATGTATTTATTACGGTAATCATAAAAAATTAACATTCCAAGTATTTTTTGGGTACACTTCAAAAAAAGTAACTTAGTCAGAAGTTTTCTTTTTAATCTGTTCCTTTGTGGATGATGATTTCTTTGTTGTTGAGATGTTGAACAGATTTTAAAGTCTTTCCGAAGCTATCATCGTCGCTGTGCAATGTGCACAAATGTTCGAGGGCTACTTTCTTCAACATTGGATAGATGGATGAATGAACTTGCTATAAAAGTAATGGATTCTAATGGTCTAGAGTCGCGCCCCCCTTCCCTAAGGGGGTCACTTCCGATGCGGTGGAGAGGCCATTCAGGCCAGAGCCAGTCCCACATAACTACGCAGCCAGCTGCGTGGTTCAGCATTCACCACCTCCCCCCTCCCCCGCTTCCGGAGGGTTCCTTGCATTAGGCGCAAAAAAAATGGTCTAGAGTCTAAGACTTATCGATATTTCTTATTTATTATTTATGTTCCGGTATTACACTCGTAATATCGATGTGTCTTTGTTTTTGAGGACTTAACATCGATGTTTATTTATCATGGATGAATATTGATCATCCCTATATCATTGTCTAGTTAACATCCCTATACATTTTCTTGTATGGTGTGGACGCTGGATCTGTTGTAACTACACTTAAGGTTAGCAGTAAGCTTCGCATAATATTTCAATTTCTTGTATCATTACTGTAATATTTGTTTTATATGCGACACCGTGTTCCCAACGAAGTTCTTTTTCATATAAAACCAACATTTTGTATAGCAAGCGCAACAAACAGCACAGAACATCTTATAACATACGCTAAACAAATCTAACATTCAACCTTGGACTAAGATTAAAACTATTGTTATATTATGTTGTTCAAAGGTCTTACCCTACGTTTTTACAAATTCAACAGCTAATAGGTCCTGATGACAGGCGGCACGGTTTTGCACTCCTTCTGGTCGAGGGTCTCGTCGATGACTGGCCGGTAGGAAAGCTTGGTCAAGCCGGTTTCAGAGTCAGTTTCTGCCAGTGTGTGTTTTCTCCAGTGTTTCTCGAAGGGTAATTTCGTCTGTTGGAAATTAATTTATTGATATATTTTCTAAAGAACACTGTCTTATAACAAAGGGTTCGGCATTTCTATAATTCGAAATCTAGTTTTTAATTTATTAATGCAAGAACTTAATGAATCTTTCTAAAATCTAAAGCTTTATAGCAAGTCTGTCATTATAATGTTTGTATTTGTTAATATAAAGTTATGACTTTTATGTAGCAGGGCTACGTTTGTGTATAGGAACCTCTCTGGTTAGGTACTACACTCTCTCTTATTTTTCTAAATAGTGGTGCTGCTGCCATTGTAGTTTGATTACAAGTTAGTGTAAGAGGGTCAGTATAACATTGTTATGATGCATTCTATTTAAGTCCTCAGTGGTGATATATAAATCAATAAACGTCTTTTTAATTAAAATTGCCTGCAAATAAGTACTACTAAAACTATCCGATCCGTCAAGTAGCTTTTAGTTATCGCGATATGATTCTTATCAAATGATCCTTTTCAGAGAATTAATAAAAAGTTTCTCGCAAAAACTCACATAAAATTTAACTGAATGGGAAAACTTAGATTGCAACAGTTGCGGCGTCAAAGTACTAAAGAGAATGAGAATACAGATGAGTACGCTCACACACGCGGAATTCACATACAGTAACAGGCAGAGAAAATAACGCGATACACTTCGGCAGTATTTATTGTGTTATTTTCTCTGACTGCTACTGTAGGTGAATCCCGCGCTTGTGTGTGTGCGTTACGACACGCTTATATGAAGCAACCACACTCGTTTAGTAGTAGTAGTTGATGATGACGGTGTTGCCTGGTTTTAAAAATTTGCTGAATTTTAAGCAAATTGTACTCAAACAGCATGTATTTGAATTAACAATGATATTTTTATATTATTTATAACATGATATTTAAACATAAAAAACTAATCTGTAATGTTATTGCAGTAGCCAGGTAACCCTTTCAGATCGGACAGTGTTTATTACCTATTTGTATACATAAGCTGCAATGACCGCTCATACACATGTATTACGAACTTATGTAACTGACGTACTAAATTCCAATTCAATAATAAAAAAAAGCTCGTTGGACGCGTAACAGTTATTTTTTTAATTATTTAAAAGTTAGTTATTTATAGCCAATCCTGAATGGTACATCGAACTAAAGAAGCCATTCTTATCTTGAAGCCATCCATATTGTATAAGAATGGCATGGAAATAATTCAAGAAGACTTTATATAGGATTAAAATAAAGGAAAAATATGTGCATATTACTATTTGATCTGTAATATTTTCTAAGTTTAAATGCGAGAAGGTTCTTTATACTTCGTTCATGATGGTGGCACGGTAAACAAAAGTTAAGACAATATTTAGTTTTTAATCAGGGAGTAGAGAGTAGTGGCAGCGTCAGAGAATCCATCACCCCATTACTCGTGGCTACTACGACTAAGAAACGTCCATGGAAAATGCAAATGAGCTCTCATAATCTCAATGCATCCGTTAGGTGGCTGCAGAACTATCTAGTTTATGCCCGACGTGTGATACCCAAACCGGTAACATAGTGCATTAGTAGCGCCATAATAGCGAGACGTCAAGTTTTTTTTAATTGTCATTCCGTCTGCATAGCGTAACCGTTACAGCCTATTAAAGTTCACTGCTGAACGTAGGCCTCCAACATAGATTGCCTTATAGGGGAGATTTTGCCTTAGTTTCAATGCTTGACACGCTTTTCTTATTTTTAGTCGTTATTAGAAAGACGCTGCTGCCCATCTCCTGGTTTGTTTCTCTGTGTCGACTCTTACAACACCCACAGGATGATACGGGGTAGTGGATATTCTTACACCGCCACTACACAGGGTTCAGTGATAGAATGCACGCCTCCCTAGAGTAACAATTAAGGAAAATCCTATTCAAAAACAAGAGAGGCACATGTCCAGCAATACATTTTATGGACTATTGTAATGACGATGAATGAAGACAAAAGAAACTTTGTAACATAGTGTTTAATGGAAGTCTTGTTAGTTATCCTAAATAAATAAAAAATAATTGAATATATTATACCATAATATATTCAATTATTCTTCTTCTTAGTCTTACGACTTTGACTAGTTACTTTTGTTCTGTGCCGAGTGTGTCATTTCATTAGTTAATTATAATATAAAAAATATTGCTGTAGTGTTCTCTGTTATTATTTATAATAGTACGAATTGGTTTTAATCAAACAAAATAAAAAAATGTGGGCGGATACCTGTCCTTCTAGCGGCTTGGAGTAGTCGTATTCATCGCGGCGCGTCTTGAAGTCCTCGCGCGCGTGCGCGCCGCGGGACTCCTCGCGGGCCAGCGCGCCCTCCACGATCTGCACCGAGTTGATGAGCAGGTTCTGCAGCTCCAGCGTCTCCACCAGGTCCGAGTTCCAGATCAGCGACCGGTCGGACACCTTTACGTCCTTGATCTGCTTGTAGATCTCGTTGATTTGACGTTGCCCTGTTTACAGGAGGCCAAATTTATTATAAATCAAATTTAACCGTAACTTTCTTTATAAAAATGTTACTAAGAAAGGACTAACCGTCAAAAAGACATCTAAAGTTAGGTTAGAATGTGCCGAAAATATTTAAAAACTAGAGATGTATTCAAAATACATAGCCAATAAAATAAAAAAAAGATATTGTTAATAGAATAACGGTGATAAACGACACACAGTCCACCTGATGGTAAGTGGATGCTATAGACCATAGACATTTACATCTATCCTCGATTAAGAATCAAAATGCAGATGCGTTGTCACCCGTGAGGACTAACTTTTTTGTTATAGTGGTAAGGGTGACAAACACGCACACAGTTTACAAGATGATTAAACATCTGTATCTATCTTGAAATCTAATTCTTTCTTTCTTGAAAGAAAGAAAGAATTAAGAGCAAACAACATGGTAAGGCACTATACATAGCATAGCAAGTATAACACAAAATATATAGTTTGTCATCTTTGTGTTTAAACTCTTACAATACTAAAATAAATTCTTTCAAGTTACGAGAATCTAATAATGAATAAAAATGGATGTTTCACCTGAAGAAGTAAACCAATATCATTAATCATAAAACTTATAACAATAGAAACACCAGGTATTTTACGCGCCAAATTTCTTCGAGAAAAATTAGTTGTGTGACCTTGCGCTAGTACATCTTGGATATTTTTTATTTGGATACTTCATTCATTACAGCCTATTGAAGTCCACATACACTGAACATAGATCATAAACTAAAATATAACATTTTTATTAAATTTAGATTATAACATAATACTTATTAAAATTCAATTTTTTATTTACCACTGGTTCAAAAAATACCTCTGTCATATACATACATACATACATACATGAATAATTTCACAATAATTTTGTATGAATTGTAATAAAACTTATGATCATATTCATATATATACAAATAAATAAAATTGAAATGTCTGTTTTGTGATGTCAAAATAACAGCTTTTTACTAAATGAATGTACGAGGGTGGGTCAAAAAGTTTCGCGTAATGGAGGGGTTAGAGAAGGGAAGAGGGATTTTTTTAACTTTCACTACTTGGTGGCTCAATACAACTATAAATACCAAGTTTCAGCTAGACCGGTTCATTAACCTTTGAGATATCATAGGATAACAAGTCAATCGGAAGGTGAACACTAACACTGGAGAAAATTAAGTTTCGTGCCATGATTTAGTTCCCCGGTAGGCAAGGAAAAACGCAACATATCATCATGGAAAAGATGTCACTCTTGTACTGGAAAAACGATGATTTATAAGTGGCATAGCCTTTTTAATCAAGACAAAGACTCAAATGAAGATATCAGCGCTCTTGCTGATTGAGGCAACTTCCTCAGACATTGTCGAAAAATTTAAAAATCTTGATGATGAAAAAACGAAGATGCTCGTCTGAAGAAAAAACCGTTTTAAACATTCTCCATGACCATCTTGGCATGTCTAAGGGTGCCATGAGTGCTCACACCGCTTCAGAAACAGCAGCGGGTCGAGTGTTCGCGCCAAATTTTGGACCTGTGTAGTGAAAATAGGGACAAAAGTATGAATCAAATTGTGACTGGGGATAAAACTTGGGTTTATCACTATGAACCTGAATCAGTCTATGCAGTGGAATAAAAAGACACAGCACCGATTAAGAACTTGAAGTTGTCACAATCGGCTGGAAAGAAAATGACTTCAGTTTTTTGGAATTCGGAAGGGACTTTATTAACCGATTAAAGGTGTCAATATCACGGAACAGTATTACGCTATGCTACTATAAAAATTAAAAGATGCGATTAAAGAAGAAAGAAGGGGAAAGTGGTTTCAAGGTGTGCTCCTTTTGCACGACAAAGCACCCGTTCACAAGAGTCATGTTACGATGACTTCCTTACACAGTTGCGGCTTAGAAACTTTAAAGCTTTAAACCACCCTCTCTACAATCTAGATTAGATCCTTTTGGATTATTATTTGTTCCCAAATAAGTAAAAAGAGCTTCGGGGAAAGAAATTTACAGATGACAAAGAAGTGAAGTCGGCAATTTCCGCCCATTTGAGGGCCTTGGCAAAACATTTTTTTTTTTTCGAAGGTATAAACAAGTTATTTGATCGGTCTGATAATGTATTAGGGTTAATTGAGAATATATTAAAAAGAAAAAATAATTTCATATTTAATATCACCCCTTTTCATTTAATTCCACGAACTTTTTGACCTTCACTCGTATATACGGTACTTATAACAAAAACTACTTTTAAAATTGTTGTCTGTCTGTATGTTTGTTCGAGCTAATCTCCGAAACGGCTGGACCGATTTAGACAGGATTTTCACTGGCAGATAGCTGATGGTATAAGGAGTAACTAAAGCTACTTTTATTTTAAAAGAAGAATTAGGAATTCGGGCAAAAAAACACTGAAAACCAATGAAATCCAATCGTAATAAATTTCACGCGGGCGATGTCGCGGGGAACAGCTAGTCTAAGAATAGTTTTGACAACATCATAGCAGCAGGCCAAAAATTAGAAAGAGTGCGCAAATATAAATATTTAGGTACGTGGAGCAGCGACCAGGAAATTAAGAAGGAACCTAATTAAAATATAAGAAAATAGAGATTGATATTATAGTATCCGTATATTTACAAGAGATTCATTATTTTATTAAGCTACACTTACAACTTCTTCCATAATTTCTTCAAAGGTATTATATATATATATATAATATAATATATTTAAAGAAATTTTATATATATTATTGTCTCATAGGGGGACTATTTGAGGAACTACCAAAATATTTCCCCTGTGAGACATGACCATGTTAGGCAGGCATTTTGGCAGCCGCATTTTTATTTTTTGGAAACAACTTCATAATTTAAAAAATGCGGTTGACAATCTGCCTGCCAAACGTGGCTACTATGGTAAAAATCCCATCCATGAGGTTTCTTGGGGGAGGCATATGTTAAGCAGAGGACTTGTGAAGGGCTATAATTACATACGAGACCGTGTGTGTTGTTACACATTCTTAATTCTCCGCGTTGCTCCATTTTTGAACAAAACCGGCAATTTTTTAAAAAATTTCCACTTATGGATTTTTTACAGCTAGGTATAATTACTTTTGAAAGTTATTTATGTATATCTTGTGTTTATTATTTGTACACTGTACCTTCTTCTAGTGTGCTCTTCTGTCGGAACACAGCGGCATTCTTCTGCATGCACCGTTGCATGCGCAAGCGCAATTCGGCTGTAGGAATTGATCCATCCGCGTATCTGATCCGGTCCAGGTTTGCAATACTACTTTCTCCTGATGTCTGTAAGTAATATCAAATATATTTATTTCTTTGCTTGCTTTGCTTGAGTCGTATTATAAAGACTGACTGAACAACCTGTCCAATCCAAAAGAGACAGCAATGACATTACCAAAAAACAATTGAAACGTAGCATTAACTAATCATCATTCATCATCATTACAGCCCTTCACAAGTCCACTGCTGAACATAGGCCTCCCCCAAAGAATGCCACAAAGCACGGTCCTGAGCCACCTGCATCCATCGACTTCCTGCATATCTTACCAGGCCGTCACTCCATCTAGTGGGGGGACGCCCTACACTTCGCCTGCCGGTACGAGGCTGCCACTCGAGAACCTTTCTTCCCCATCGGTTGTCGGTTCTTCGAGCTATATGGCCGGCCCATTGCCACTTCAGATTACTAATCCGTTGGGCTATGTCGGTCACGCTAGTTCTACTGCGGATATCCTCATTTCTGAGTTTATCACGCAGAGAAACTCCGAGCATAGCCCTCTCCATAGCTCGCTGAGCGACCTTGAGCTTCCTCATCCGGCCAGCAGTGAAGGACCACGTCTCAGTTCCGTATGTCATCACTGGCAACACGCACTGGGTGTACAGTCTCGTTTTCAAGTTTTGAGGTATACCTGACGAGAAGATGTGCCGTAATTTCCCGAACGCTGCCCAACCGAGTTGAATCCGTCGATTGACCTCTCGGTCGAAGTTGGACTTACCTAGTCGGACTATTTGTCCCAGGTAAACATACTCGTCAACAACTTCGAGCTTAGTGCTCCCAACAACTACCGGTATAGGTGTGACATGGACATTAAACATGATCTTTGTTTTGTCCATGTTCATCTTAAGACCTATCCGTTGGGAAACACTATTGAGGTCATTGAGCATAGTGCTTAGGTCCTCCAGCGATTCTGCCATAAGGACTATATCGTCGGCAAATCGAAGGTGAGTGATGTACTCGCCATTGATGTTGATACCGTATCCTTTCCAGTCCAGAAGCTTGAAAACATCTTCCAATGCAGCGGTAAAGAGTTTCGGGAATATGACGTCACCCTGTCTTACACCTCTCTGCAATTGGATAGGTTTCGTACTCTGGTTCTGTACTCGGATAGCCATCGTAGCCCTACTGTACAAGCACTTCAACACTTCGATATACCGACAGTCAACTTGGCATCGCTGAAGGGACTGCAGCACCGCCCAAATTTCGACGGAATCAAAGGCCTTCTCATAGTCCACATACGCCAGACATAGTGGCAAATTGTACTCCTCGGACTTCTGTACAATTTGCCGAAGGGTATGTATGTGGTCTATGGTGCTAAAGCCTTTTCGGAAACCGGCTTGTTCGGGAGGCTGGAAGTCGTCAAGTCTGCGCGCGAGACGATTCGTAATGACTCTCGAAAACAGCACGTAGACGCGGCTCAGAAGGGAAATCGGTCTGTAGTTCTTCAAGAGAGCGTTGTCGCCTTTCTTGAAGAACAAGACCACCGCACTTCTGCTCCACGCCTCCGGTGTAATGCCACCATGGAGGACGGAATTAAAGAGCTTCTGAAGGACTTCAAGTACCGGTTTTCCACCCGCTTTCAGAAGCTCCGCTGTAATTCCATCCTCGCCTGGGGCCTTGCCGTTTTTAAGGTGCTGGAGAGCCATTCTAATCTCGCTCAGACTGACGTCCGGGATATCATCGGAATAATGTCGGATAAGACTCGCTCTTGGATCGTTACTCACACTTGCGTGCGGCTCCAACGATGACGTGTACAGCTGCCCATAGAACCTCTCAATCTTACTCAAAATCTCAGGTGCCCCGGAAATGATGCTGCCACATTCTGTCTTCAGCTTTGACAGTTGGCGCTTTCTGGCAGACAGATCTCTGGCAAAGACTTTGGAGCCTCGGTTCCGCTCGATCGCTTCTTCAATACGAGCTGTATTGAATTTGCGTAAGTCCCGCCGCATGCATTTGGAGATCTGTCTGTTCAGTTGCCTGTATGCTGTTAAATCTGTTGAAGAATGTAGTTTCATCTCCCGTCTAACAGCCATGAGATTAAGAGTGTGATCGGAGAGTTTTTGTGTTCTTCTGCGGCGGGTCTTGCAGAACTTAGCTCCGACCGCATGGACAGTTTCCACGAGCTTGTCATTCAAATCGTCCACTTCATTGCAGTCTTCTAGGCACTGAAAACGGTTTTGTAACTCGAGCTGAAAGGTTTCGGGACTTTGGATTAGAGCACGAGGGGGACGGAGCGTTGACTTCATTAGACGAGACCTCTCCAACTTAACGTTTAGGTTCAGTGTGCCTCTAACCATTCGGTGATCGCTGCCGGTTTTCACCCTCGCGATCACTGAGACATCACTGAACAGTTGTCGTCTGGTCGTCATAATGAAGTCAATCTCATTTTTTGTCGAACCGTCGGGGCTCGACCAGGTCCACTTCCTGTGGGGCCGCTTCTGGAAGAAAGAGTTCATCATAAAGAGTCCCTCTTTCTCCATGAAGTCGGCCAGCTGCTGGCCCCTTGGGTTCCGTTGCCCTATTCCAAATTTCCCTACTTTCAGCTCACCGTTCTCTCTTGTGCCTAGTTTTGCATTGAAGTCTCCCATTAACACCGTATATTGGGTTTTGGAGGAATGCATGGCTCTAGAGATATCCTCATACATTTCCTTTCGCATTAACTAATATTTTACTACAATTTGCTTGGAATTCAGTAAATTTTTTAAATCTGGTAACACCGTCATCGGCGACAGTATCTTGGAACAAAGGGTGGCATTGTTACCCTACGGCCGTCAACGCCTCTTATAATGTTAATTTGTATGTTGTTTGTAAATTTCCCTAATTAATCAAATGTTATTTATTTTTTGCGCTGTATTTTTTATTTAATCTCTAAAAATCATTCTGTTAGTGTAATCCATATTAACAGAATCATATCACGTTATCTAAAAACATCCTCATGTGCGAACATATTTTTTTTACATATCAAATCAAATCATTTATTTGCAATCCAAGTGCAAATAAGTGATCTTAAATTAAAAACGTGCTTACAACTCAGACGTCACTTTTAGACATTTTGCATGCAAATTTGACAACGACACTAGGTACATAAAATATACTTATAAGCTAGATAAATATTAAAATACATAATTGTGTTACTTTTTGTTATCTAAATACTGAGTAGACGGGCTTAGTTAATTCTACTAGGTTTTTTATTTCCTGGGGTAATGTATAAAAAATTTTATTGTACCATATAGTTTTTTAACATCATATAGTTTAAGTCAGATGCGAAATAAATATACCGGCGACGGATAGCAACGTCAAAGGTGTGAGATGTCGGGCGAATTGATGTTCGCAGCACTAGACGTGAGGACCTTTGAAGTTGCCGTTCATCACCGGTCTGAATATTATGCGTTTGGCATAAAACAGGTATACCATATACCGTAATCTCTCCAATGCTATTATATTTTTCTAATGGCTCCAGTACACGTTGGCCGAGCGCGCTTGGCGAGCGCGTTCGGCAGATTTTCGTGGTGCCGTTCACACGTTGGCGTGTTTCTTTCTGCGTTGGTAGCTAGATGATGATGGAAGTTAGGGCGATCGCGGCCGCGGCAATATACTTGTACAGCGCTTTCAAATTTTATTTAGATGTGCACCAGAGAAGAGTGATTAAAAAAAATGGCGCAAAAGAAGATGGTGGATGCTGAGTATTCTATATGTATATACACTACACATACAACAATAATCCCAGTTTGTCCTTTTTAGGGTTCCGACCTCAAAAGGAAAAAAGAAACCCTTATAGGATCTATTGGCTGACCCGTGCCCGCTTGGCTGGGCGTTTTTTCAAAATAAAAGATAGCCTAACAGAAGCCCCTAAGCTACATTATCCCTGAGCCACATAAACTCAGAGATAATTTATAATAATATTCATCATCAGGTAGGTACTCTGAAATCGCAACTAAACATGTATTATTTAATACAGTTAGGCACGTTTGGGGTTCCATATAACTGATTCATTGTGATAAGAATCAATGAACCTAAATATTTCCTCATTAGTCCATGTCACCATGTTCGTGAAACAATTTTATTAAGCCGACACTACAGTCTACTCCGACGCGTAACTATGAACTGAACAACGTCGTCGGCCAACGTGTGAACAGTTTGCGGCTTGCGCCAAATTTCTTTGATTTGTGCACGGAAAATCGACACTATACGGCTTGTCGGCGAGTGTTGGCCGCAAACGCCAAATATATACAAAACGGCCAACGTGTACTGGAGCCATTACATTTCCTATATCGCCTCTTACCGCACTCACGGTACGAAATAGGGAAATAGATTACTTTACGCTGCCACTTCACGGTCTAAAGAACAACTTAAATGTGCATAAATATGTTAACAATTTATTTATTAATTTTGAAAACATCATAATATTATCAAGTACGTAATCGCATCGTAATTGGGTATTCTCACACTCATGTCACTTGAAATAGTTTTTATTGGCTATCAAAACAAACGTTTTTAGTAATTGTTTGAGAATATAGGATAATGACGAGACATGGTTTTTATAATAAAATTACTCTATCAATATCACTACAGCCCACCACAAGTATCTACACTATTGAAAATAGGCCTTCGCCATAGATTGGCACAAATTACGGTCCTGAAGAACCTGCATCAATCGACTACCTGCACGTTTTATCAGGTTATTACTCCATCTAGTGAGCTATGTCAGTTACTCATGTTCTGCGGATATCGCGTCCTTACAGATTAAATCCTGCAGATAATTTTCGAACATTCTCTTTCTTTTGTACACTGAGTAACTAAGCTTCCTCACACGTACAGCAGTGAACGACCATGTAATAAACGACCATGACCAAATAAGTCGTTTTATTTGTAAATCTAACTCAACAAACCTAACAAGTTTCAATACAATATAAATAGTAGCAAATTCAAATTACAGGATTTTTTTAATAGTGGTTTCAACTACCCAACTGTATAAATAATATTAAGTAGTAACAGTTGAGTTGGTTCTAAGTTAGAAATGATAAAAAAACATGCGTGAGTGTTGTGGAACACTCGGTTGGAACGAAGTTCTTTTCGTAGTATATTATTATTAATAAACCTATTATATTATTGATTAACAAATACAAATAAATTAATTACTAGCGTCTATTAAAATGAAGTGAGGGTGAAAACTAAATTATTAAATTCTTTTGCATTATACTCAAACATACATAAATATATACTTACATACATTATAGGCGACTTTACTGTAAATAGTTCACAACTTATAAATAAACAGATGTGTGTGTATGCGTGTGACGGCTTTATTTCATAGCAAGTGAATTTTATACATTCTTCAACAAAGAGATATGTACAATATAATATTTTTAATTTTAGAAGTGAATAGTGTAAAGTATGCGCTATCATATATCTATACAATATTCAGACGTCTACATATTAATCGTTTGTTTAGTGTCACACGCTGAATTTGCAAAGTACCGAATTGTGATAGCTTATATGAGGTCAAAAGGTTGGCGGACATGTGTAAATGTAGACATATAATCTTTATTATTGTTTATTATACGGGAAAGATAGACTGTGGTTAATTATGTAGCACATAGGTTGTTACTACCCGCGATTGTAACATGTGAAGCTGTAAGAAAATAATTGAAATAAATTTAAGAAAATGATAAAATAACATTGAAGATATTATAGTCTATAGTATAGATATTTAAGTTTAGTAATTTGTGAATAGTAAAAAGAAGAGTAGATAGGTTTTGGGGCAGTTCCCCAAATATTTTTCTTATTAATAAAATGCCACCTGGCAGCATTGGACTCAGTGGAGAGACGTGCTAAGAGGCTCATTGGTGACCTTGATTTGGTTGAAACCAATCTTGTCAGCCTCGAGCACAGGCGCAGAGTAGCCAGTCTCTCGGTATTTTATAGGATGCATTTCGATGAGTGTGCGCAGGAATTACACGCCTTAATTTCTCCCTCTCCTTTCCCCCATCGGACAACCAGACGGTCGGCGGGTCTTCATCCCTTTGTTGTCGATATTCCACGCATTAGAACCAAATGGTTTGATTCGTCTTTTGTAATGCGTACAGCAAAGGAGTGGTATAATTTGCCGGCGTCTATCTTTCCGTCCGAATACAATCTAGGCGTCTTCAAGGCAAGAGTGGCTAGGCTTATGTTACGATAAGACAGTGCGATTTACCATCTAAGGCTGCATCACCACTTACCACCAGGTGGGATTGTGGTCAAGCACTGGCCTTTAATAAGTAAAAAAAAAATTCTCAGGCATGAAGTCCACTAATATTGAACATGTATGAAACATTATTAACATCCACATTTTCGAACCTAGCAACAATTTAAAAAAATAACGTACTCTGAAAGTATCATAATAGACAAAACCACTATTTTTGTTTGTAGCCGTAGCCTCGTTCATTGGTGGCACCACATATAACTTTTATTTTTGGGTTGGAGAAGTTGTTACATAAGGTGGATAAACTTACCAAGTTAAAGTACATATAGTAATTGTAAAGTTGACACTGCTTTTTTAGCAGTGTCACCAAACTTGGTCGATTTTCAATTATAAGTTTAATTAAATGTTTATTATTTAAATATATGCAAATGGGATTATATGTAAGTATGAATCTATGTCGTCATTACATTTTGTTCTCCTTCAACAGTCCATAAGTGTCCACAGTTGTACACGCTTTATCTTTGAAGGATTTTTGCAAGCGGACTGGCGATCGTAGTACCAGTCGTCTTGGAAATTTAACGTCGCTTCTCCGTCGCCACTTTAGATATTTTACGTTTAGCGTCAACGAAATAGTTATACCGCCACCTATTAAAAGTCAAGAGAACTCTCAGATAGGGTTTTGGCGGGAACTTGACCGGCGGCGGTTTGCTGCTCCTGTTTTATTGTTTAAATAATGGTTTGAAGTGGATTTTGATATGTAAAAGTGGTGCGATTTTGTGTATTAAGTGTCTGCGCATGTGAACTATTAGTAGAAACTGTGAAACAAGTGCTCTGATAGTGATGTGATTATCAAAATAAGGTGCCTGTCAGCTTAGGCGCCTTAAGATACCATCGCCAACCGTCAGCTGTCTGCTGGCTGAAGTTACCGTCAAAATCACCCAAGGGCTGCACAATGTGACGCATCAACATATTGTGAAGCAGTATACTATGAAGAATAATTATTATAATATAATATTGTAACTTCAGGCTCAGAAGGGCTAGATCCCAGAGCCGTAAAACCAGTTATTAAGAAGAAGATCATATAAAAAATCAAATAAAAAAAAATGTTAGTTTTGACAGCTTTAAAAAAATAAATTTTAACTGATAAACTACTAAATACCCAATTATTTTAATGGGGATGTTTTAAATAAGTGGCAAATAATTGAACGTAATGTCTTTGGATATTTTGATACTAATTTTGACAGTGTAGGCAGGCATGCGATAGGAGAAGTTAGTCAACGTCGTTGCAGTAGCAACAATATTTATCACGCTGGCTCTAAACAACATTGCGCAGCTCTTTTCTGTGACTTGGCTAACTTGGCCAAACTCCTTCGGCCCTTGCCGAGCAAGTTTTTCCGAACCATCTAACGCGTGCAAATCATCTTTTTACACATCGAGTGTTGGAAGGTTCCATAAAGTTGGGCGCTGGTGTAAAGCACCAAGGCACCAAGGCTTTAAAATAAATTTTGTGTATTAAAATTTTTCTAAAGGCAATTTTTAATATTTATAAAGAATTGAATCTATTTTATACCTACTGTGAAAAAAAAGAAACGGTCTCTTAAATAAATAATTTATTATTGTCTCTTTTTTAAGGTGCCTTTCTTACTGCGTGGATTTTATTATCGAGTCCCGTGTCTGACAGAAAATTTAAAGATTTTTATTTACTCTATCTATGAATTAAATACGCAACAAAGAAGACACACATAAAATACACAATAAAATGCGGCCACGTGTGCCGTGGTAAGCAATAAATAATAAAGCATTATCTATAACATTTTAAACATTAAGTGTTTATATTTGCTTTTCTCAGTTTTAGCACTTATCACAAGCTGTAAGGGAAGTGAGATAATATTACCTTTTTTAAATGATTTCCCTTATACTACGAATTGCTTCTGTATCGTGGAAGCTTTTTATGAACGAAAATTAATAATTATTACTATTAATACATAATCATATTTCAGGGTAAGACTTCGTCCTTTAGAAGAGAAATACAATCTATGGGTGTAACGGTACAAGCGTAGATATACTAAACATTTTGATATCACGTGACAATTAAAACAAGATGGTGCAAATATGAGAGATGCGTATAGCTAGAACCAAGATCCAAGGTCTGACGTTTTTGAACTGTATCCACAACTGATTGTTACCGCTGATGAATAAAGGACTGGTACTTTTCAAGCCAGAAGATAAGTAGTATGGATATACACCATCGAGATATTTTTTCAGAAGGCAAAAAACCATGTCAATTTTGTTAGTTTATAGACATCCGAACCGGAACCAACTGGCCTGTCAAGTAAAGCATGGCAATTATGGAATATACTGTGGCGGGTGGAAGGAAAAGGGCGGATCTCCCGCCGGGCAAGGTGTTCTGCGGCCCCCAGCGCAGCAACTCATTGCTAAGCCACTGCGCCACGGAGTCGTCAGATTTAGAAGAAGTTTTCTTCCTCGCACAACTTCCTTGTGGAATCGAATACCACCAGCATTTTTCCGGACCGATACGACTTAGGGTCCCTCAAGAAAAGAGTCTACTCTTTTAAAAGGCCGGCAACGCACCCGCAACTCCTCTGGTGTTGCAGTTGTTCATGGGCGGCGGTAGTAGTCACTTATCATCAGGTAAGCCGTATGCTCGTTTGCCTCCTCTCAAAAAAAATGATTTAAATGTTAATTATCGTGTATTTAAATGGATGCTTGTAAATAGTTTCCCCAAGTGACTTACTGAACCCAGTAGCATAGCACAGTGGAGTCCATATAAAAATTTCTGAGGACTCTTCTTTTGAAAAATATTCATGCTGAACTATAGATACCCTGTTTATAAGAGAGCTTTTTATCTGGAGAAAATGTTTATAAGGCCCGCAAATGACTTTTTAAGATTTGACCGTTTCTCATGTGCAAATTATGTATCTGTATATGTTTCCCCACATACGAGAAAGTTCTAGTATGTGGGGAAACATTTTTTGTAACCGATACTGAAATCAATATGTATAAGTAAAAATAAGTAAATCAGTTGATAATTAAAATTTTAATTAAAAGTCGCACTCTGCCGCAGATGTATGCATATATGATATCTGCAGCAATGAGATTGATAGCCCTGCATTAATTTCCTACACTTTACAACTATGTGCATCTACTAAGCGCACTAGACATATTTCGTTATTTTATGTACCTTGAAGGCAAATTTAAATTATGTATAATTTTCTTCGACTGACATGTTTCACCAAAGCAAATGAATCTTTAAAAAATAAATTATGTTGACATTAAGTACGAAATACTCAAACACACACATACACACTCATACGTGTGTGTACTAAATCGTGTGCGCGCGCACAAGTGCCATGTTCAAAAACCCTGTGTTATGTATTTTCATTTCTGTAATAATAAATAAATGATAATATGTGTGTACCTGTTTGAGCGGCGCTTGCGCGTCGCCGGGGCGGCTGGTGGCGGCGACGGTGAGCGCGCAGGCGCGGCCGAACACCACGATGTCGAGCAGCGAGTTGGCGCCCAGCCGGTTGGCGCCGTGCACCGACGCGCACGACGCCTCGCCCGCCGCCAGCAGCCCCGGCACCACCTGGTCCGACCCCTCCGCGTGCCGGATCACCTGACAAACACCACCATCATCATCATGTTACAAACCACTACATACGAGGGGTAATGAAAAAGTAATGATAATTAATAACAAACACGGTGATTATAGTCAAAAAAAAATTTTTTTTTACGTAGTCTCATAACAAGTCAATGCATTTAGTCCATCTTTTTTTATAACCCAGAATTCCCTTAGAAAAAAATATTTTTCTTAACCCTCCAAAAAAGCCTCAACAGCGTCCATCACTTCATTGTCGTCTGCAAATTTCTTGCCTCGAAGGTGTTCCTTGAGCCGAGGAAACAGATGGAAGTCGCCGGGAGCTAGATCTGGTGAATTGGGTGGGTATTCGAGCAGTTCAAATCCCGTTTCTTGAATGGCAGTCATCGCAACTGCGGCTTTGTGAGCTGGAACGTTGTCTTGCTGAAACAGCACTCCAGCTCGCAGTTTGCCGTCTTTTTTCCTTAATAGCCTTCCGCAATCTTCTATTTGGCCTTCGTAGTGAGAGCCCGAAATAGTGGTTCCTTTTTCCAAATATTCCACCTTAATTATTCCTTCAGCGACCCAAAAAAACAGACACCATAACCTTTCCCGCCGAACTTGACACTTTGAATTTCTTCGGCGTCGGTGACGAAGCTTGTTTCCAAACCATTAATTGTGGTTTGGTTTGAGGATCAAAATGGTGGATCCAGGTCATGTCAATGGTCACGATACGCGACAAAAAAATTTCCTGGTCTGCTTGGAAACTTTCGAGTCACCCTCGAAATGTAGACTCGTTTTTTCTTTTGCTCATCGGTTCACATCCTCGATACCCAATGCACGGACCTTTTTCACATCCAATTCGTTCGCAACGATTCTTTGAACACTGCCATATGAGATCCCTGTAACCTTAGCTATATGCCTGATGGTCACTCTTTGATCTGCCAATACAATATATTCGAATTTTTTCACGTTATCTTAAGTGAGAAATGTGGATGGGCGTCCTTCGCGAAGTTCATCTTCCGTGGATGTTCTGCCAAGCTTAAGCTCCTTGTGGCCCAGCGTGTAACTGTGGAATATGGAGGAGCAGAGTTGTCCAATGTTTCGACCAAGTCGCTGTGTATGTCTTTGGTAGACATTTTTTTTAAACAGAGGTACTTGATGACAGCTCTAATTTAGTTTATCTCCATTTTGATGATATCTCTTCGAAGATTCGTATTCAAATGAATGTACCTCCCGGGAATCGTAGCGTATTTATATGATTTTCAATGCTGATCTAGTGGGTACAACAGCAAGCAAAAAAATTTGAATTTTGGATTTTTACGTGCATGGAAAAATAACCAATTATCGTCACTTTTGGATCTACTCTTCTCCTCGTATACTCTATAGTTATATAAAAATGCACCACGTGTATTATATGCATATATTATGTGCATTACGAGGGCGGCACTGAAAATTTCGGGAATCAAGGAAGTGACACAACATTACTATTTAAAATGTATTTATTTCTTTTCGAAGTATTCTCCGCGAAATTTGACACATTTTTCCATACGATGGAACGAATCATTGAAGCAACCATTCCATTCGGAAGTTGGGGTCTCCAAAATGGCCGTTTTGTAGGCGTCCACAGCTTTTTCAGGTGATGAAAATCTCTATCCACGCAATTTATTCTTTATTTTAGGGAAAGTATAGAAATCATTAGGGCTTAGGTCGGGGCTGTACGGCGGATGGTCTAATAATTCTATGTTTTCTTGCTCTAAAAACTCTTTTGTTCTGTGTGCGGTGTGAGAACTCGCATTGTCGTGATGGAGGATGATGCGGCGGTTGCAGTTCTCTTTACGGAGTTCGGAAACGACCTGTGGCAAACAAATGCTAGCATACCATTCTGCATTAACCGTTCTTTGTCCGTCAAGAGGAATAGTCGTAACATGGCTGGTTTTGGAGGCAAACGTGGCCACCATTTTTTTGCAACACTCCGTGAACGAACAATTTTTGTTGGCTTTAACTCATTTTCGAACACCCAAACTCGTGATTGGTTTTTTGTTTCGGATTCGTACCCGTATATCCAGGATTCGTCACCTGATACGATGTTTTATTTTTGGAGCATTTGAGGATCCTGCGTGGAATCTTTCGAGAGTTCTGACGCACCAAGTAACGCGAGCCGCTTTTTGCTCTTCACAGAGCGAATGCGGTATCCATCGGGAAAACAACTTTTTACACCTAATTGTTCATGCAAGATTATTTGTATTTGACTCATGCCAATTGCCTGAATTTCGCGGTATGTCACATGTCGATCTTCCTCAATCAGCTTACGCACAGCATCAACGTTTTCTTGGGTGACTGCAGTTTTTGGACGACCTTGACGGGGATCATCACTGAGCTTGACACGTCCACGTTGAAATTCAGCAAACCAGCGATAAATTGTGGTTTTGGATGGGGCTTCATCACCAAATGCAGAAATCATCCGGTCAACACACTGTTTTTGTGTTAAACCACTTCGAAAGTCATAAAAAATCATTGCTCTTGAATTTTCTCGAGTCAATTCTATTTTCTCAACGACTAAACAAGTTTGATAAAACCTTGTGGCAAGACCGAGAATCTTTTTTTAAATAAATAAATGGTATTCGATTTTTAAAACTAAGGAGATTTCAATTAAAAAGATTTTAATATGACAGAAACAGTGGAAATATTCTATTCCCGACACTTTTAGTGCAGCCCTCGTATAATATAATGTATTATCGCCGCCTTGTGTCTTTCCTAGTGTAGTGGAGTAGTTGGAATGTAATTTATTTATTTTTATTTTATAGATTAACGGTAACAAACGAGCATGCAGTCCACCTGATGGTAAGTGGAATGTGTGGCTCAAATACATCTACATCTATCCTCGATCAAAAATCAAAATGAAGAATGCGTGCTACAACCATGATATAGCTGCAGTGTGGCTCTACCACGTATTTTATATTATTGTATTACACGTATTGGAATATATGGTGTTGCGATAAGTCGTGACAGAGATATTTCACGAAATTGAAGGTGGACGGGAGGTTCTCTTCACACTAGGTAAGACCCATCATTGTTATTCCATTTATTACACTTGGATCTTAGCCATTTCAATCATCATCATCATAATAACAACCCTCCACAAGTCCACTGCTGAACATAGGCCTCCCCCCAAGGAATGCCACAAAGCACGGTCCTGAGCTACCTGCATCCATCGACTTCCTGCATGTCTTACCAGGTCGACACTCCATCTAGTGGGGGGGTCGCTCTAAACTTCGCCTACCGGTACGAGACTGTTACTTGAGAACCTTTTTTCCCCATCGGTTGTCGGTTGTTCGAGCTATATGGCCGACCCATTGCCACTTCAGCTTAGTAATCCTATGCTAAGCTATGCCGGTCACTCTGGTTCTACTGCGGATATTCTTATTTCTAAGTTTATCACGTAGAGAAACTAAGAGCATAGCCCTCTCCATAGCTTGCTGAGCGACCTTGGGCGTCCTCATACGGCCAGCAGTGAAGGACCACGTCTCAGTTCCATAAGTCATCACTGGCTACACGCACTGGTTGCACAATCTCTTTTTCAAGTTTTGAGGTGTACCCGACGAGAGGATTTGTCATAATTTCCCGAACGCTGCCCAGCCGAGTTGAATCCGTCGATTGACCTCTCGTCGATTGACAACTACCGGCATAGGTGTGACATGGACATTAAACATGATCTTTGTTTTGTCCATATTCATCTTAAAAAATATCCATTGGGAGACACTATTGAGGTCATAGAGCATAGTGCTTAGGTCCTCCAGCGATTCTGCCATAAGGACTATATCGTCGGCAAATCTAAGGTAAGTGATGTACTCGCCATTGATGTTAATACCGTATCCTTTCCAACCAGTAGCTTGAAAACGTCTTTCAATGCAGCGGTAATGAGTTTCGGAGATATAACGTCACCCTGTGTCTTACACCTCTCTGCAGTTGGATAGGTTTCGTACTCTGATTCTGTACTTGGATAGCCATCGTAGCCATACTGTACAAACACTTTAGCACTCGATATACCGACAGTCAACTTGGCATCGCTGAAGGGACTATAGCACCGCCCAAATTTCGACGGAATCAAAGGCTTCCTCATAGTCCACAAACGTAAGGCAAAGTGGCAGAATGTACTCTTCTGTCTTCTGTATTGCCATAGTTACGGCAATATACCCCCCATATTATATTGCGGAACCCAAGAGACCAGCAGCTGGCCGACTTCAGGGAGAAAGAGGGACTCTTTCTCCAGAAGCGGCCCCACAGGAAGTGGACCTAGTCGAGCTCCGACGGTTCGACAAAAAATGAGATTGACTTTATTATGACGACCAGACGACAACTGTTCAGTGATCGCGAGGGAGAAAACCAGCAGCGATCACCGAATGATTAGAGGCACACTGAACCTAAACTTTAAGTTGTAGATGTCACGTCTAATGAAGTCAACGCTCCGACCCCCTCGTGCTCTAATTCAAGGTCCCGAAAACTTTCAGCTCGGGCTACAAAATCGTTTCAGTGCCTAGAAGATTGCAATGCAGTGGACGTCAGTCGACGGAGTCATTACGAATCGTCTCACATGCAGACTCGACGACTTTCAAGCTCCCGATATAGACGGTTTCCGAAAAGGCTTTAGCACCACAGGTAAGTCCGACTAGGTAAGTCTAACTTCGACAGAGAGGTCAATCGACGGATTCGACGCGGCTGGGCAGCGTTCGGAAATTACGGCACATTTTTTCGTCAGGTATACCTCAAAACTTGAAAACAAAACTGTACAGCCAGTGCGTGTTGCCAGTGATAAGTTATGGAACTGAAAAGTGGTCCTTCACTGCAGGCCTGATGAGGAAGCTCAAGGTCGCTCAGCGAGCTAGGAGAAGGCTATGCTCGGAGTTTCTCTGCGTGATAAACTTAGAAATGACCAACTGAAGTGGCCATATAGCTCGAATAACTGACAACCGATGGGGAAAAAAGGTTCTCGAGTGGCGGCCTCGTACCGGCGGACGAAGTGTAGGGCGTCCCCCCACTAGATGGAGTGACGACGAAGGATGCAGGTGGCTCGGGATCGTGCTTTGTGGCATTCCTTGGGGGAGGGCCTATGTTCAGCAGTGGACTTGTGAAGGGCTGTAATGATGATGATGATTATTATTATCAAAAAAACCAAGCGGCGCCGGAGAGTACCAACGGTGGAGGTGCTTCGTCAAACTCTTATCATATCACAATGCCTTGTTACTATTAGTTATAACTGTCAGCGCTAATCACTTTTCAATGAGACCACCGTATTGGCGGAAACAAAGAGCTAAACGACGTTTCATATTTTCCCGCACATTTGAAAATAAATTGTCACTTATAGCCATTTCTCTCAATTTCTCAGACGCGATTATTACTAATTATAATTAATAATTGTTCCACCGAATCCACGTTCTCCGCGTACACATCGTCTTTGATGCACTCCCAGAAAAAAAATCGAGTGGCATGAGGTCTGGCGATATTAGGAGGTATGACCACCCACGAGGTCCAAATCTATCAATCCATTGTGCACCAAACGTGTCATTTAGCCACTGCCTGGCTGTTGTTACAGAGTGCGCTGGCGCGCCATCTAATTGGTACCACATTCGTTGGTATCGATGGACGTTTAGGATGTTTGTGTATTCTGACACCGTATAATTTAGTAGATTAACAAACCTTTCTCCATTCAAATCCCCATCAATGAATACGGGTCCAATGATGTTGTCACCGTGAATAGCTGCCCAAGCATTTACCGAAAATCTGTACTGATGGGCTGACTCCCGCCAAATGGTCGGATTTTGGTTTTTGGGTGTTCAATGGTGCAGATTGTGCTGGTTCCACATGCCGTTTCTGGTGAACGTGTTTCGTCAGTCCAACAATTTTGGGAAAGAAAGTCACTGTCCTTTTCAATTTTACTCAGTAACCATGTCATAATTCACTCTTATTAATTTATTAGGCGATAGCAGAGTATGTACTTTTCTAAACTTGAATGGGTGCCACTTTTCGTGGTTTAATATCCTATGGACGGTTCTGTGATGGACTTGTAAATGCCTAGCGCTCTGGCGGAGGCTAGTTTTGAGTTTTCAGTTTTTTGAGACATTTTCAGTTAACTGGATTGGGTTTTGTCGTGTAGGCGGTCGATGAGGGCGTTAAGACCTAGGATCCACTGGCCGGTTTTCGCGGATGCGCTGAAGAGCTCCTACAACAGTGTGAAGATGAAGAGGGCATTGTCTTGAATCGCCATATCTCTCGCAATATATCCTTATCGCAAGGGCGGCATTTTGACGACATTCTCCGTAAATTAGGATGATGTCCGCATATTCAGCTGCTGTGTAGTTCGGATGTGTACTTGCCATTACGATCACAAGTTGACACAAGCACTAATAACACAAATAAAAGCGTCCGTGTAGCAAGAGATGTAAACGTACCTACTAGATTAAGAAACGAAAACAAAACAAAGCGCCTTTATCGCAGTGCCATAATCTAATTAATATCCTAATTACACAAAAATTAATAAACAAAACAATAAATAAGCGTCTTTTCCTCGGAAAAGTTCACAAAAATATTAAGCGACGTAATTATGTGCATTACTGTGAAGAAGTGTGTCAAGGACACGGATTCGATTAGCACTAGAAAAGCCCAAAAAAAATAATTCGATTTCGGGTGCAGCGGGGAGGGAGGGCACGCGTCGCCTGCGCCGCCCGCTCGCCAACCAAGAGATGTCTCTTTCCTTCAATAGTGTTGCTTATTCGTTTTAATTTCAATGATGCGATCTTATGATCCGTGACCCCGCCTAATGACCGCTGCGCAACAGTTCTCTAAGTACAGGTTACTCTAATATGCTATTTTCTAAAAATTTTAATAAATCCGTAAATAATAACGTTATCCGTAAATATACGTTGTATGTGATTCAATTCACGTTTTCGTTTCTCAAGTTTTTGCCTACTGTTAACTTTTTTAGTGACACGCTTACTACTAATGCTTAAAATAATAACTAAATGACGCGAATTATGATTCCAATTTTCTTTTTAAACTTTTAACGGGCTTAGGATCGTCGTAATAAATAAAATAAAAAAAAAATATTTTTGCTTATCAACGATGTAACCGACGACTGTCCTTATTATGGCGTATTTACAAAATTGGAATAAACTATTTACAACTAAATTACGCAAGTAGTCCCAATATCTAATATTGGTACCTCAAAATGGAATCCGTTTCTCTGGTGGGGATGTGAATAATGAACAACCCACATATTATTAGATAACCGTTTATTCACAACGTAAATTAAAAGTAGCGGATTGGAAAGTGAACGAGCGGCCTGACGGTGTCGGATGCTATCTCATTCAATCGACTCTGAAAAGTTTGGCCGGACCTTCATACGAAGAATAACAAACATATGGTTCAATTTTGTATCACAGCAGCTCACAAATAGTGTTTCTGATAGTTGTTGAAACTACCTTCTTAGCTTCAATAAGTAGCATTTGTACGACAATATTATTTTTTATTAAATATTATTATTATTAGTAAGTAAATACGAGCTTGCCAATAAAAATATTCATGTGTTACTTTTACTTATTTAGGTTTAGAACTACTAATTCAGACAGACTAACGATCGCAGAATTAAGCTTCTAATCGTATCAGATTTTAGAGTTGAGTACTGTTAGTTTTTTTTTTATATTCATGTTATAACCTTTTTATATAAGCTTATAGAAAGGAACATAGTAGGTTAAGTGAAAGTGGTATTCAGTAGTTTTCTACATTTTATCAATTCCAGGAACAATTCCCAAAACCGACCCATTTACAATGCAATTGCAGCGTTGCTATAATATTATTGATATACCAGCGTAAAATAGTAGCTTAACACTGCTGTTTAGTATAGTGAGTGTGGAGAACCGGATACCCTTTTTACTGGAAAAGAGGCATCTGCATTTTGATCCTTTATTGAGGATAGATGTAGATGTCTATGGGTCACAGCAAGCACTTACCATCAGGTGGACTGTGTGATCGTTTGTCACCTTATCCAATAAAAAAAGATAGTATCATAAAACGAACCTCGCCACGGAAGTTAGTGGGCGTGCCACCCATGTTGTAATGCACGGTCGGCAGCACAGGAATAGGCTCCTTTGTAACGTCGACGCCAGCGAAAATCATAGCAGTTTCAGAGATGCCGGGCAGACGCTGCTTGAGTTGATCGGGTGGCAAGTGGTGAAGTTGAAGGTGTACGTGGTCTTTTTCGGGACCGCATCCACGACCTAATGTGTGAAGATGTAATGATATTGAATATTGAAGTAAAAAAAATATCATGGGTAAATCATCACCATTATCATCAATAACAACATTTTATCAATAAAATTGTTACTGCCACGCTGGGCAGGCGAATTACTAATCACAGAGCCGAATTATGCCGACACGCGTGCGCGTGCATGCGTGCGTGCATGCGCGTTTGTGTGTGTGTGTGTGTGTGTGTGTGTGTGCACGCGTATGTGCGGGCTTGCGTGTGTGTATGGAGGGGGCTGGCTGAAGGTGTTGAAATATTAATTATACTATACTGCCAGTTAGTACACTTACATTGAAAAGAAATAAGGAAATCATTTGTATTATTACTGTTCAATATACTGCCTGCTGTATGTTCGTATAACAATAAGTGGGAAGCTGGACAAATAATTAATTTATTAATGTAGTGTTTTAATTAATTAAACACATTTTTTTTATAAAATTAATAAGTAATTAATATTTAGTGGCATATTCCTGGCTGTGGGTAACTGCACGATAGCAGCACGAAAACTATCAACTTTTGGCAAATTTCAACTCATACCATTAATAGAATGCCACTCTTCCAAAAACGTTTATACGGCTCATTTATGTTACCACACCATCAGTTTGATAGTTTATTTTTGACTTAACACCAAAGATGTACGATCGGATTAAGATCTGGCCTGTTCGGTGGGCGGACTGTCGATGTCGAGGTATCTTTTTACAGAATGTGCTTCGGGTTATTACCGTGCTGGAATATCCAAATTACCGGGAGATTGTCATACATGCATATGGCTCTTTGTATTGACTTTGGTCCATGTTTCCTTGTATCAGCCTAGTAGGTTCCACGCTATTACCAGAAAAGCAACCCCAAATCGTAACTTTTCCACCGCCATGCTTCACGGTCTTCACGGGACATTCAAAGTTGTCTGATGTGTATTAAAATGCTTCACAGCCAGGTACACCATCGTTTTTGATCAATGCAAATGATTCGCAATTCTTTTTTCTATAGCGGTAGTCGAAAGGTTTATTTTTTTCCATTTTTATCAAAAATAAATTGCAAAAAACGTATATTCTAAAAATTATTGAGCGAAAATGCATTTTTTATGAAAATTTTAGGCTTGGGTGCTTGTCCTTTATTTTATCAAAAATAAAGTGCTGAAAACTTATATCTTAAAAATAATAGCGCGAAAATGCATTTTTTTAACTAAGATTTTTGGCTTGTCCTTTAAGCCATCTCTTCATTTCATTCGGGATCGTCCTTTTTATAGTACACTGCTTCACAATATGTTGATGCGTCACATCGCGTAGTTTTTGGGAGATTTTGACGGCCACTTGAGTACAGTACAGTTGGCGATAGTATCTGAAAGCGCCTAAGCAGATAGACACGTTATCTTGAGATCACATCACCATCGGAGTGCTTGTTTCACCATTTCCACTATAGTTCACATGCGTAGACATTTAATGCACATGACTTTTGCTTATTAAAATCCACTTTAAACCATTATTAAAACAATAATACACAAGCAGCAATCCGCCGTCGGTCAAGTTCTCGTCAAAACTCCGCGAAAATATAGTAAAAATAGTAATGAAAAACATCTAATTCCATTTTCAAAATGATGAAAAACGAAAAAAATATTTTCGTTCTTAATTATTTGTCCAGCCAGTATTCCGGCAACTTTGTGAGTTCGTATGATTTAATAAATACAAAAATAAAAAGGTACATTATTTTGACAAGATTATTACACTAACAATACAGATCAGTCATAAGAATATTCTACGACACTATCAGAGTATGTTTAGAAACAAATTGTGCACTGAAATCATGGTGAAAACATAGTATTGGCTTCGTACTATTAATAGTTTTTAATTCTATGACCACCACTGTATTATGTTGATATTATGAGCGGTCACAACCGCCCAGACACGCGGATTATACGCGGGTGCATGCACGCACATAGTTAATGATTGACTAAGAAGGCTCGGTGTGGCAGACTTTATTTGTACCATTATAACAACGTATAGCAAGGCAAACTAAGCGCTAGAAATTGTTAATTGAAATTTTAAGTGCAATTTAAGTTCACCAACCCCCAGTTGAACAACGTGGTCGACTTATCGCTCGATAGCCCTCTCAGAAATGAGAGTGTTGTGCCATATTTTATTTCACCACGTGCACGGCATAAAAAATAAAACATTGTATCCTTACAATGTTTGCTTTCTACACCTACTGTAGATTGTAACTTTTATAGTAACACAGCACCATTATGTTTTGTCGGAAATAGGTTTGGTGATTTGTAACAATTATTTAAAAAGAAAAATTAAAATAGTCTAAAATATAAAATAGTATTTTCACAGACTGTCTCCAAATACATTTTTTATTCGTAAAAACAAACAGTAAGCAAAAAGTTTCAATAATAAAATGTGGTGGCATTATTATGGTAAAAATGTAATTTAATATACACTACCTTCCATAATCTCAATGGTCATAGAACGCGACACGACGTCCCGGCTGGCCAGGTCCTTGGCCACTGGTGCGTACCGCTCCATGAAGCGCTCGCCCTTCGCATTAACCAGGAAACCGCCCTCACCGCGGCAACCCTCCGTCATTAGGCAGCCTGCGCCGTAAATTCCTGGCACAAAATGAAAAAAAAATACATAAATTAGAGATATTCCTTGGTAACGCTTTAGTAGTCTGCCGTAAGGAGGGAGGAATATGTTCCTCATTTATAACCACAACTTGATGACAAAACTTTAAAAAATAATTAAAATGCATGTAAAAATAAAATAAACTACATATTTCCGCTTAAAAAGCGCCAAAATTACCAACGAAATTGTGCCAAGCAGTACTAAAGCCAACCCTATGTCTCTCTACAAGCCAGTTGAAATGATGATTAATTGATATCGCCTAATGAATGCTTTATTATATTTCTGCTTTAGCTCATATAATATATCTTTATATATAAAAATTATGTGTCACATTGTTTGTCCGCGATGAATTACTGAACTGATTTCAATTAAATTTTGTACACTGTGTGTAGTTTGGTCCAACTTGAGAGATAGGATAGTTTTTATCCCGATAAGTGACCCTCAATTTCTTTATTGCAAATCTCGGGAGTTTTTTTAAGAAAGCAAATGGTCGTCGGAAAGGGCAGAACAACGTCTGCCTGGTCAGCTAGTAGCTTATATAATATTAATTTGTTCAGATAATAGTGTTGCTCTAGTGTTTACTTGTGGCCTTGAATTTAAGAAATAAAGACGCAGGTATTTTCCACGCATATTAAACATTTGATTACAATGCAATTATAAATGACAGAGTTGTAGTAAGCGCGTATATACAAGAAGTAGCATCTAGTGAAACAATGTAAAAAGTTTTAATGGATAGGTTTTTTTTAATAATACCTGTAGGGTGGAACTGCACAAACTCCATGTCCTCGTTCTGCAGGCCGGCGCGAGCCGCCATGGCGGTTCCGTCGCCGGTGCACGTGTGCGCCGACGTGCAGCTGAAGTACGCGCGACCCGTGCCTCCCGTTGCCAGGATCGTGTTCTTCGCTTGGAACCTAACCATTGATATGTTGTCTTACATCTGATTTATCACAGCATTTGGGTCTACGGGTTCTTTGTCTTAATAATACGAAGAGTCAATCAATAAGCTAACTACTGTTAACCTTACTATTGTATGTAGATAGTTTTAAATACATTTCGTATTTTGCCTTATTCAAATCAGATGGGGAAAATTCTGCCTCACTGAAGAGATATCTAAAATTTTGTAGTAGTTTTTTTATAGGATAAGTTTGACAAACAAACATAGAGTTCACCTGATGGTATGGGAACAATGTAGCCTATAGACATCGACATTTACCCTCAATTAAGAATCAGTATGCAGACAATAATAAAACAGTTTTAAATATGTTAAATAATTTTAACTCACCTATGCAATGTTCCATCTTCAAGATTGAGGGCGATGCATCCCTTACAAACACCATCTTCCATCAAAAGATCCAAAGCAAAATACTCAATGAAGTATTCACAATCATATCTCAGAGATTGTCCATATAGTGTGTGAAGTAGGGAGTGACCAGTCCTGGAAAATAAAACAAATATAGTTTTAAAAAATCTTATATAAAATTTGAATATTTTACTTTATATGTAATCAAATTTTTAATATTTAATGATTTTAACTTACTACTAAAACTTAATATTTCGTTAAGGATTTGTAACAAAACTAAAAAGATATAGCAAAAAACGTAAACAGCGGCCTTAATAGGATTGTAAGATAATTTACATGATTATACATCTATTACATTAAATAAAAACAGCAGTTTTGCCAGTTTACAGTAATTGTATCTTAAAACAATAAAAATAATAATTATAACTTTTAACAAAAAGTAAAAACTTTGAAGAAATTTTTTCTCCAAATTTATATGGGACCACCCTTGAAGTATAACCTGTTTAAAAATTAAAAAAGGAATAATCAAAATTGGTTCACAATATCTGCGGAAATATTGCGTAAAATACACAATAAAAATACACTCGAATTGAGAAACTCCTCCTTTTTGAAGCCGGTTAAAAATAGGTCGGCAATAATGAGCAACAATGGATGTAGGTACAAATTTAAGCATTTACCTAAAAAAAAAAACTTAAGTTCGAACAATTATATATGGTCTACAAATAGTTGTTTCAGATCTGAATGTTTGTTCACATCACAGAGTACATTATATAAGGGGGGAAGGTTCACATGCACTTTGTTTGTAAAATGCTTCCACAATACAGAAAAAATTGCTAATGGCGGTTACACTTAAAAAATACTTCTCTGCATGATTTGTGGTTGCCAAATATAGCCTTAAATTTTAAAAAAAAACAGAGAAGTTTTAAAAGGGAAATTATGTAGAAAACAATTATATCTTGACTATTTAAATTTTGGGAGAGTGATATAAATTAGAAACTAAAAGACTTGAGTGAGTGACTAGTATATTAACATTTGCATTCACATTAGCTGATGTTATCTTCATATTAATATTATACTACTCAGCAAGATATTTCTTGCTTTAATAAATATCCATTTAAAGTAAAATGCAGCTCGGATTAAATTAAATGTTTTGTTTTATACTAGTACTAGCTGGTATACTGCAGCCGATGAAATAATTGTGTGAATATCGCTTTAAATTTGGAAGAGTTATACTGTTAAATGAATTTATTTGAATGATATAAAACTTTAATTGTACTAGTACTGTAAGTAGTTAATAAGTAATGATTATAATTAATTGTGCTATGGCTATAGTCTTTGCACAAGTGCAAGCAACAAGTTGACAAAGTTTTCGCACAATCTGATGAACGGTATGGCATCGCATAAAATACGCACAACAAACAAACATTAATTTTTATATATTAGACTAGCTGCCACAGAAAAAATCATTTTGGTAATGTGATTTTAAATTTGGAACATTGTTTAATTAGGAATGATAATACATTCAATGAAGTTGAACGATATGTAATAATTAATAACTTTCAAATAAATTTGTTGGTATGATATGCCCCACAACTACTGTAAGTTAATTGTACTATGCCTGTAACCTTTGTGCAACTGCAAGAAATAAGATGATAAAGTTTTAGCGCAATCTGATGAACAATATGTCAGCGCATAAAATATGAACAAATAAACATTAATTTTATAGTATTAGATTTGTTTATACCTATATCATAAATATGTAATTATAGTATTTTTTTTATTATAATTATTATAATTTGTATGATATTGTGTATATTATTTATGCGTCAGGAATGTAAGCACCAAGTTAGTCTTCTTTAATATATATTTGTCTGTCTACTTGAAGATATTACAATATACATATTAGATATGTGATAAGTAGGAATAAATAAAGATACATTTTGTAAAAACTCACTGTATAATTGTTTCTGTCTTGTATGTACATAAATAAATAAAAAAGATAAGCCAAGTATTGAATATAATACAAGACAAAATGTTGTTACTTTGACAGTAATTAGGTCAGTGAAACAATATCATGCAACTCGTTTTAAATTAATGGAAAATAAAATTAGTGTTTAATCAGTCCTGCTTTCATACATATATTATAGTTACTCACAGCCATTCACTTATTACAGTAATTTAAAAACTTGTATCCATAAAAAATTTCATTCACTATAATTTACAAAAAAGTATGCTTAACATCAAAGTTTACGAAAAAATTAAGTTACCAGAGATACCAGAGAGAAAGATATCAGAGAGGACAAGGACATAATATAGAAATGGATTGGTCACACAGAAGTAGGGAAAAATATAATAGCTAATGATAAAAAATTCATGGGCTGACATGATTTAAAAAGCCTTATTCTGAACTTTGAATATTATATTATAAATGGAAAGATTGTTTTCACAAGAAAGTTACAAAAATTTAGTATCTGAATTATGGATAAAGAAAATATATATATATATATATATATATATATATATATATATATATATATATATATACACATATATATACATATATATATATATATACATATATATATATATATACATATATATACATATATATAGGCGCATAACACTAATTGTGTAAGAATAGCTGACACTTGTGCTCAACTATATGCAAGCATAAGGCAAAAACATATGTATTAAAAACAATCTGTTCTAAAAAACTTGCTATCAATCATTTTTTATTACCTGTCAGCTACAGCACAGCACCTATGTGCTTGGCCACCTTTACCAAACTTCAAAGATTGTCCTCCAAAAGCTCTTTGATATATTTTACCCTCAGGTGTACGGGAGAAAGGCATTCCATAGTTATCAAGTTCAATTACAGCATATGGTGCTTCTCTAGTCATATAGTGAATGGCATCCTAAAATATAAACATAATGTTTGTTTAGGAATATTAGGAAATTAATTTGGCTCAATTAATTAGAAAATTAGTCATATTTATGACATAAATATATCAATCTCCCGTTTTATTTTTATAACAGACTATATTACATTAAAACTATTTTTAATGAGAAAAAAAATACCACAAAATCTGTATAATTATAACCATATTGTAAGATAAATGAAAATACAAATGCACATTTCCCACTATCATTATTATTTAGTCTTTTAATAAATTAAATTAAATTTCTTCGGACCATTGTCTGATCCGGAGTGTGGTGCCACTCACGCTTCCCTCGCGGTTGCGTTCTGCAGGATGCCGCCGTGTTTGGCATTACAGGTCGGGGGATTGGGACGGAATGCGGTCTTTCTTTGCATCCTACCTACGAGGGCGGGTTTGCTCCTCGCCGGATGGTTCCAGTGCTGTTGCTGATTCTGTCACTGATGTAGTGCTACAGGGAATGGATTTATTTATTCCATCATCTGTGGTATCCATCGGAGGCAGATCTTAGTTTTGGTTTGGTCGCTGGCCTGTAAGACTGCATTACGCAGTAAGCAGTGTTATCAAGCCTGGGCTGCGGCTTCGGCGACTCGGGATGTAAACACCAGCATGCTTAAAAAGAAGTATAACTTTACCTCCAGGTCCTTCAAAAGATTTATCGCCAAGGCAAAGTCAGAGCACATAGGCAGAATTGGCGAGAAACTAGTTCGCCTTCCTTCCGGAACCCGTGCATTCTGGTTTCTCGCCAAGGCTGTCCAAGGGAATTTCTGTAAGCCAAATCTACCATCTCTGCACAGGGATGACGACTCACTGGCCCACGCCGCAAAAGAGAAAGCCGACCTTTTAGGCTCCCTTTTTGCGTCCAACTCGACTCTTGATGACGGGGACAGAAGACACCGAAGTCGAGTGGGCCTGACGGAATCCCCCCAATTGTGCTGAGGACGTGTGCTCCGGAGTTGGCACCGGTTCTAACGCGGTTTTCCGGTACTCCTAATCCTTAGGCGTAGTCCCGAAATCATGGAAGGCAGCTTTTGTCCAGCCGATCCCTAAAAAAGGCGACCGCTCAGACCCGTCCAACTACAGGCCTATCGCCATCACCCACTTGTTCTCCAAAATAATGGAATGCATTATAAACTGCCAGCTCATGCGGTACCTTGAGGATCACTAGGTGATTAGTGATCGCCGATACGGTTTTCGTCGGGGTCGATCAGCAGGTGATCTTCTGGTCTACCTGACCCATAGATGGGCGGAGGCAGTAGAGTCCAAGGGGGAGGTATTGGCCATTAGTTTGGACATTGCGAAGGCCTTTGATCGGGTTTGGCACAAAGCGCTTCTTTCGAAGCTCCCTTCCTATGGGCTTCCCGAGAAATTGTGCAATTGGATCACCAGCTTCCTCGCAGATCGGAGCATCAAGGTCGTTGTAGACGGTGCATGCTCCGACTACAAGCCTATTAACACTGGTGTTCCACAAGGCTGTGTGCTATCACCAACGCTGTTTCTTCTGCATATCAATGATATCTTGCAAACTGGTAACATTCATTGCTATGCGGATGATAGCACTGGTGATGCTCTATACACCGGCCGTGCCAATATTTCTCGGGAAAACGTCGCCGAGTACCGGAACAAACTTGTGTCTGAAGTCTAGTCTTTGCTGAACAAAGTCTCGGATTGCGGGCGACTAAATCTAGTCCAGTTTAATCCTCAGAAGACACAAGTTTGCGCGTTTACCGCTAAAAAGAACCCCTTTGTCGTATCTCCTCAGTTTCAAGACACTCCCCTTCTTGCCTCAGCCAGTATCGGAATCCTTGGCGTCGACATATCGAGTGACGTGCAGTTTCGTGATCACTTGGAAGAGAAGGCATAATTCGCCTCTACAAGCTTGGCGTGCTCAGCAGAGCGGGACAGTATTTCATGCCGGCACAACGCCTGCAACTTTACAAGGCGCAGGTTCAGCCTCACATAGAATACTGTTCTTCCCATCTCTGGGCTGGGGCACCCCAGTGCCATCTCCTTCCACTTGACCGCATCCAGCGCAGAGCGGCTCGAATCGTCGACGACAGAGTCCTTTCCGATCGGCTCGATTCATTGGCGATGCGAAGAGATGTTGCATCCCTTTGCATTTTCTTTCGCATTTACCATGAGGAATTGTTCGGATTAATCCCAGCCGCCAAATTTCACGAACGCACATCGCGGTAGAACTCCCGATACCATCCACACCATCTGGATGATTGGCGGTCCACCACTGTGTGATTTAGAAGATGTTTTCTTCTTCGCACAACTTCCTTGTGGAATCGATTACTATCAGCGATTTTTCCGGACCGATACAACTTAAGGACCTTCAAGAAAAGAGCCTACTCTTTTTTAAAAGGCCGGCAACGCAACTGCAATTCCCCTGGTTCCCCTGGTGTTGCAGTTGTTCATGGGTGGCGGTAGTCACTTACCATCAGGTTAGCCGCATGCTCGTTTGCCCCCTCTCCTATAAAAAAAGCTATTACCATTACCGTCTTAGCCTATCAAATATCCACAACTGGACACAGATTATAGATTACCTCATAGGAGGTATATTAGCCATAGTTGCTACACTTGGCAGGCAGGTTGGCAACCACATTAGATTACACTGCTGCCAATCTCCTGGATTGTTTCATCCCTCTTTTCATCTCTTATGACACTGATGGTATGATATGGGTAGTGAATATTCTTACACTGCCACTACACAGCTACATTAATATGAAAAACTGTCAGCAGCAACATACCTGATCACCAAGCCAATCAGAGCCCTTTACCGTATCATACATATGCCAAAGCCAACTGTCTTCCTCCATGTTACCTAAAATTACAAAATAAATAGGTAATATGTAGTAATTTCACAGGATGTTACTGACTAATATATAGAAATAACTGAATACAATTTGGATGTTCTAGATTCATGTAAAACAGATAAAGAAATTAAACTATAGTATTAAATAAAAATTATCTTTATATATCGACGATGAAATACCAATACCTCCTATCTTCGTTTTTAGTGATTTTCAGATTTTAATGCAGATTTACGTAAAATAATATCTTGCACGTACTAACAAAATCTCCTAACACATTATTTAATTATTTATGCTTTAAAATACTAATAGAAATAACTGCTATTTTAAGTTGACAAAATTATTCTAAAATTTTGCTGGAAATAAATCCTAACTTTACAAAAAAAAATACCTTCTATATTATTTTATGCACAAAATAAGAGCAAATAGCCATCCATCTGCAGCAACTTAAGTCAGTATTACCCAGTGATTGTCATAGTTTTGACGATGGTCTGCCATACTCTACTTAAAAAGTTAAAGATGTTAGAATTTAAGTAAAAGTTTATTGGTAATTTTTGATCTCATTGCTATTAATAACTTCATATTGTACCAGGTTGATGTTGTATTCCGTTGATATCCTGGACGTCAGTCTGAGCGAGATTAGAATGGCTCTCCAGCACCTTAAAAAGGGCAAGGCCCCAGGCGAGGATGGAATTACAGCAAAGCTTCTGAAAGAGGGTGGAAAACTGGTACTCAAAGTCCTTCAGAAGCTCTTTAATTCCGTCCTCCATGGTGGCATTACACCAGAGGCGTGGAGCAGAAGTGCGGTGGTCTTGTTCTTCAAGAAAGGTGACAACGCTCTCTTGAAGAACTACAGACCGAATTCCCTTCTAAGCCGCGTCTACGTGCTGTTATCGAGAGTCATTACGAATCGTCTCACGCGCAAACTTGTCGACTTCCAGCCTCCCGAACAAGCTGCTTTCCGAAAAGGCTTTAGCACCATAGACCACATACATACCCTTCGGCAAATTGTACAGAAGTCCGAGGAGTACAATTTGCCACTATGTCTGGCGTATGTGGACAATAAAAAATCCTTTGATTCCGTCGAAATTTGGGCGGTGCTGCAGTCCCTTCAGCGGTGCTAAGTTGACTGTCGGTATATCGAAGTGCTGAAGTGCTTGCACAGTAGGGCTACGATGGCTATCCGAGTACAGAACTAAAGTACGAACCTATCCAATTACAGAGAGGTGTAAGACAGGGTGACGTTATATCCCCGAAACTCTTCACCGCTGCATTGGAAGACGTTTTTAAGCTTCTGGACTGGAAAGGATACGGTATTAACATCAATGGCGAGTACATCACTCACCTTCGATTTGCCGACGATATAGTCCTTATGGCAGAATCGCTGGAGGACCTAAGCACTATGCTCAATGACCTCAATAGTGTCTCCCAACGGATAGGCCTTAAGATGAACATGGACAAAACAAATATCATGTTAAATGTCCATGTCACACCTATGCCGGTAGTTGTTGGGAGCACTAATCTCGAAGTTGTTGACGAGTATGTTTACCTGGGACAAATAGTTCGAATAGGTAAGACCAACTTCAACCGAGAGATCAATCGACGGATTCAACTCGGTTGGGCAGCGTTCGGGAAATTACAGCACATCTTCTTGTCAGGTATACCTGAAAACTTAAAAACGAGACTGTACAACCAGTGTGTGTTGCCAGTGATGACTTATGGAACTGAGACGTGGTCCTTCACTGCTGGCCGGATGAGGAAGCTAAAGGTCGCTCACTGAGCTATGGAGAGGGCTTTGCTCGGAGTTTCTCTGCGTGATAAATTTAGGAATGAGGATATCCGCAGTAGAACCAGAGTAACCGACATAGCCCAACGGATTATTAAGCTGAAGTGGTAATGGGCCGGCCATATAGCTCGAAGAAACCACAACCGATGGGGAAAAAACGAAAAGGACGAAGTGTAGGGCCCACTAGATTGAGTGACGACCTGGTAAGACTTGCAGGAAGTCGATGGATGCAGGTGGCTCAGGACCGTGCTTTGTGGCACTCCTTGGGGGAGGCCTATGTTCAGCAGTGGACTTGTGAAGGGCTGTAATAATGATGATGATGAAGATTTTGTCTATTTTCTATTTATAGACGATAAGAACCTAATATTCCATAATTTAAATTTTCGTTCATGAAAATGTCTGAGTTGTTAGAAGTTCATTTTTGTTGTCGTAAAGTTATACTTATTAAGTTACTACAAATTTTTTTCTTGTTTTATCCATATAATAATATCCAAGTAAACACTTTAGAACACTAAGACATTAAAAACACTTGATGTAGGTATATTTTTTTGTAAATCTTTCATTTGTAATAAAAAGCTACGTATTTATATTATTTAACTTTTATTATTTGCTCCTATTATCCTCTCGATTTACCAAAATGTATCTATACAAAAACCAATACCTCCTATGTATAAATATTTTAGTAAATACTGGTTTTACAGGAAAAAACAATTAACAGGCCGTATTTACATTCAAAAATAAAGCGAATTTATGAAATGAAATCAAAATAAAAAATAAAATAAAATTATGAGAAGTTTTTTTCGCTTTTACAGTTTCATATTTAAGATATGAGATATTGGCACTTCGTCGTCAATATATATATACATATAAAATGATAGAGGTTTGCAGTTGTGCATGCATCACAGAAAATCTACTGGATAGATTTCAATTAGGTTTTCTCAGTTTTATTTCTTAAACACTTGGCCATTACAAAAAAAAATATTGCAATATCTTCATTTAATATAAAGTTATTATAGTTTTAAGAAACAACAATTTTTATAAGCACTATGTATTCAGTGATGTGCATTTTCTTGATATATCAACCAATACAGACAAAGATATCGGTATCAGTTAGTATAAAATAAGATTGATATTACAAAAATAAACTAATCTTTTTTATAATTTGTCTTTAACTTATTTGATAGACTAAAATCCAAGACAAAAACACATATTTTCCAATAATATAAGAAATCACAAGGATATAAGCATTCTTTAAAAGTTATAATTTAAACCTAAACTTTGCAATTCTTCAAACTTAAATCAAGGATATTGGAAAAAATTATTATGGCAAATGTTAGTACCTAAAGCAGCATTGATTCCACCCTGGGCAGCAACAGTATGTGATCTTGTTGGGAAAAGTTTGGTCACAACAGCTGTCTTAAAGCCTTCCTGTACAAGGCCAAAAGCTGCCCGTAGACCAGCACCACCGGCACCAATAACTAATGCATCATGTTGATGATCAATTACTGTGTATGCTTTAGATATATTAGTGTTAACAGATCCATCTTTTGCAGGTCTGGCACCTCCAACAGACAAATGCAGATTCCTATACACATAAGTGGCCTGCAAAAGATATATAAAACAAATTGTGCTTACAAGTGAAATATTTTGAGGAAATTTATGTTAAATTGTTATTAATTACAAACTGTTCATGCTTGATTTTTAATCACAGTTTTTTAATAATAATTCTATTAATATTATGGCTTGAAAATTAACAAAAAATAACTGATAAATCTACAGTTGAATCCAAATATTACAACATTGCTAAGGCTAATTATAATAACCTGTGGACTAATTTAAAAAACCGGTTTTAATAGGAACTACGTACTACGTTAAAAGCAACTTAAACCATGTATTTTAGGTAAGAATTTCATAATAATTTTGTTGTCAAAAGATATGGTACAGGGTTACATAACTAATGTTTGGTATGAAAAGGAACGTCTCCTACTTACCAGCGATGCCGGGCTTCTTGAAATAGCTGCTTTCATTAATGCGCTCATGATGGAACTCTCTGTCCGCACCGAAGCACGATAAAATATTTTAGTTTAGGCCACGAAATGCATGCAGTATCATCAATCCCTACCAATGGAACCAATGCCACAGCCACAGGCACCAGACAGCACAGAACACTAATACCCTTAGGCGGGCCAGACAGACTCACAGACAGAAGACAGAACGTGACACTTGACATTGACAGCTTTATTTTTATTTACTAATTTTTTGGCTTGGATGCTTGATTTTTAAGCCTTGTCTTCATTTTATTCGGGACCATTGTAATCTTTGTTCGGGACCCTCGTTTTTTATAGATTTTATGTTTAAAAAATATGTCAGAGGTGTCACAGACAAGATTGGCTACATCTTGAAGCGAGCTTCTATTAGAAAATTCTTCAAGCCGCCGAAGAAGATTAGTCAGTTCTTACTATCCGTCAAGTGCAATATTCCTCTACAAGATGCAGGGGTGTACAAGCTTGATTGTGAGTGTGGTCTGTCATATATAGGGCAAACAAAACGATCAATAAAAATCCGCGTAAAAGAACACATAGCTGACGTGAAGCACCAACGTTCCGGGAAGTCTGCAGTTTGTGATCATATCCTAGACGGCCCCCGCCATTACATTAGATTTGATAAACCACAAGTTCTCGTGAAAGAACATCGATTTCTGCCAAGGTTGATACTTGAGGCTATTGAAATTAAGAAACATCCTAATTTCAATAGAGAGGGAGGATGGCTACTACCACCTGCTTGGGATCCTGTAATTCATAAAATTAAAACTAAACCCAAGCATACCATTGCAAAACTTCAAGACACATTTAGTTCATGTTGCGTAGATCGGACCAAAACTAATAATTAAAAAGATGAAGGTACTCCGGGTTAACTTTAACATCGGGACGTCAATCACCTCAGTTCCCCGTGACCACGGTTGCTGGAAAGCAACCGAAACGTCGGGAGTATAAAATAACTTAATTAAACCCGATAAAATCCGTAAAAGTAGTTTTATTCAATAAACTCCGTTTAATATTTTGATTACATTATTGCTTCGCTACAGTATCATACCTTACGGTAACTAGTGGCGGCGTAGCGTGGGTTGACACTCAAGGCGGTTTTCTATCAAGCACCCCTCAAAATAAAAATAAAAATAAAAAATGCTATACATGCAACGGGACTTTATTTTGCTAAAATATTCTAATATATTATTAAAATTTACTTTCTTGTCAATTTTCGATAGATAAAATGGAAAGATTGGTTAGTCGCGCTTGGCTCATTGTGGACCTTAAGTAAGATTTTATTAATTTGAGTTTTGAAAAAGCTTCCTTCACATGAAACTTAATAGTAAAAAAAATCTTAGACACAGCGCTAGATTCGGAACAGATTCAGAATAGCCTAATTTTATGATAAAAGCACCAATGAATTACATTGAACCGCTTCTTGGGAAGAAATGCTGGCAGCTTTCAAGTCGTAACACCGCCAAAATTATATATACTGCAGAAAATTCATCGTAGATTTTTGTCAGATTTTGAACTATTACACGAAGATCTTCATCTGGTGACGTTATCAGAGTGTTAGGCTGAACAACACTAAATGTTACGAGAATATCATTCATTGCTCTGTAGCGATGGTCTACTTCCTCGTAAAATATGTCAAGACATTCTAACATAGCTCTCTGCAGCTCCTCTGGCAATGTTAGTCCAGCATATCGGGTCATTTCTCCTGGTAAACGTTTTCAATATTTCCTCATTTCTCTTCTTCCTTCAATCGAAATGTCCACATTCTCACATTTTTTGATACGTAGGAAATAGCTTTTTCCACAAGTCGAATACGTTGGCTTTGAAGAAAAATTTTTGGGCTTTGATTTTTATCTCATACTTTTCCAGTAATAATCTAGATTATTATTATATTATTTAGTATTTGCTTTTGTGTCTAATTAACTTCTATTAGGATTTTACACCAAAAGGAAAGACAGCATAAAAAACTGAAGTCACACAAAGCTGGTAAGAGTGTAGATACTACTTCTTTTGTATAGACGTTTTCTCTGTTGGTGCTGGGATCATATATATCTACGTGTGTTTATACTAGTTTTTTTTTTTAATTATTCTGCAGTGGTTTAACAACGTCATGATGAGCAATTAATTTTGTCTCTGAGAGTGTTTTGACGGATACGTCTACACTTTTTATCAAACTTTCCCATTGACGTGTGGATGATGAAAAGAACCTATAAACTCTTTCTACTTCTGTTCCGAAAAAAGTTAAACTTGAATTAACGCTCCCTAAGTGAGTGCACTCCACATAAATTTAGCGAATGATTAGCACATGGGGTTTTCTACGTGGTAGAGCCATGCTGCAGCTATATAAGTAGTATAGTTGTAGCACAAATGGATCGGCTCAACCGGGGAAGGACAACGCACTCACAGAATACCAGCGTAAAATAGCAGCTCAACACTTATATATTTCGTATGGTGAGTGTAGAGATCCGGAGGCTCTTCTTACTGGAAAAAGGCATTCCATCTTAGTCCTCACGGGTGACGCATCTGCATTTTGATTAGCAAACTAGGATAGATGTAGATGTCTATTGACCACAGCAAGCATTTACCTCTCGACTGTGTGCTCGTTTGTCACCTTATTCTATATAAAAAAACAATATATACATTCATTTGACAACGTCAAATTTTAAAATAGTGTTGTCATCTATAGCGTAAAATGCACCTCCTAGTTTTTAGGGAAAGAACATTCGTGTAACAGAAAAATAACTCAGAATATTTAAAAAAAAACTGCGATTGCCAACAGAAACAAAAACTTTATTATTCAATAAAGATTATAAATAATACTTATTGAAAGTCACTCTTTTGTTTAATTACCACTGGTTCGAAAAAACATCTCTGTCCTAGGAAGAAGCAGTACAAACCCAGCGGAACTTTTTTTAAATAACAGCTTACAATCATGTATGTTACACAAATTAACAACACAACAAATAAGAAATGGCTTGGTAGCGATCACCTCATTTCCAGGTGTTATTATCATCCATAAATTCTTTAATAATAACCCTTTTTATACAAACTTAGTTTATTAATGTTTTTGAACTTTGAGCAGGACAAATTTTGTATATTTTCTGGAATTTTATTGTAAAAGCGTATACATCGCCCCAAGAATGAATTACTGACTCGATGGAGTCGAGTAATTGGTACTACTAGCTTGTGTCTGTTCCTAGTATTTACAGAATGAATATCACTTATTTTTGTGTACGTACATTACATTTTCATAAATATATTGAGAGGCCAAAGTTAGTATATTAATTTCCTTAAACTTTTGTCACAGCGACTCTTTTGGCTTTAAATCACAAATTGATCTTATGGCTCTCTTTTGTAAAACAAATATAATTTCAGTGTCAGCTGCGTGTCCCCATAGCAAAACACCATACCATATAATGTTATGGAAATAACTAAACTAGTCTAGCTGTTTCAACACTGGTAAGACTTCTAAACTTTTTTACAGCATATGCTACAGAGCTAAGTCTGCTTACTAATTTTGATATATGGGGGCTCCATCGATCGAAGCTTGGCATTTAGTGTGATTCCAAGGAAAATGGTGGTATCTACAAGAGTCAGTTTCTTTCCATTTAAAGTTACATTAGAATTTAATTGTTTAACATTTGGAGTCATAAATTTCATATTAAAGTATTTTACTGGTTTTTTTTGTGTTACTTAATAATAAGCTTAATTTAAATACAATATGGAATATACCAACTATGATTAGCGATACAAAATAATTGCAAAATTTGCGCTCCATCGAGAACCTAAAAGTTTGTCAAATTTAACTTTCAATTTTTTTTACATAATTATAGGTGAAAATATTATATACGTGTTAGAAATGACTATTATTATGATTAATGAACACTGATATTTTGTCTATAATGAATTTTTCAAAAAAGGTATTTTAAAAATATTTATTGTAAAGAACGAAATTAAAAGTTCATGGAAACCTTGTAAATCTTTTATTGAATAGCTAGATCTATTTGTAAAGGTGTAACAATGGTCATGCGGTGGGTCAACGCCTTCCATTCTCACATCTTCATCAGAATCCATGCTAGAGTCTTCATCAGAAGACTCGGATGTGTCAGCCTGTGACATTAATTATAAATTTATCCATTTAAACTGGCACTACGTTGTTTTAAGAAATTTAAAATCAATATCAGCTTTCAATTCCAACCAAAGTTTATTTATGGCAGGAATCTCTTTCTTCACAACGTCAAACGATTGATTTAAGTACCTAGTTTTTAATAATAGCCTATTATACAATGCTATATAACAAAATGTTATGATTGTAGCTAAATACTCTTTGATATACAAAGCGCGCACACAACGAACGAATCGCGCGTTTAATATTTTGCTTGCTCACTTAATCCGTTCATGTACAGCAGCCAAACTCGAGTTAGGGAGATTAAACTCGAGTTGACCCCATCACTAATCACTAACTGTAGTAATTTGTGGATTCCTGCATAGGACAGTTACTATACTCCATATATAATGTACTCTGTGCTATACTCTTTGTTTGTGGAAGTCTGTGATAGTAGTGTTTCTATCACAGCATGGAGTATAGAGTACTCTATACTCCATGTATCACAGAGTACTTTTTATATATTGAAAGTTTCTATATAGCAAAGAGTGCAAAGAGTATATAGTATTCCTGTATAGGACAGTTACTATACTCTTTGGTATAGTACTTCTAAGTCATAGGAGTAGAGTCATAGTCTGCCCACAATCCTTGCATATCGACTTTTTACCTGTGCATCACTAAACTTTCGATATCGACACATGAATATTAGAACTAGGTAGTTTTTATCACTATACGACACTAGCGCTTTGCGAATTCATTGGAACTTACCGTCAACTAGAGAACTGTCCATAGATAATACACTACATACCAGGAACTGTCCTATCTGTCTCTGACTAGTATATAGTTCCTGTATAGGACAGTTACTATACTCTTTGTATACAGTTATCTGTGACTATATAGTTTGTGATAGTAACTGCCCGTCCTATTACATTTTAATATTTTTTTTTGAGGTTTTGGCGGGAAATTGACCGGCGGCGGTTTGCTGCTCCTGTATTATTGTTTAAATAATGGTTTGAAGTGGACTTTGATATGTAAAAGTGTTGCGATTTTGTGTATTAAGTGTCTACGCATGTGAACTATTAGTGGAAACAGTGAAACAAGTGCTCTGATGGTGATGGATTCTCAAGATAAGCTGTTTGTTTGCATAGGCACCTTTAGATACCATCGCCAACTATCAGCTGTCTGCTGGATCAAGTTGCCGCCAAAATCTCCCAAGAACTGCACAATGTGACGCATCAACATATTGTGAAGCAGTATACTATGAAGGAGTGGGGAAATTACAATAAACCGAATAAAAATACTTAAGACTTGGCCTAAAGGTCTAGATACCAGGCCATAATTTCCAAAAAAAAAAAAATTTAATATTTTTGAAAACTCCGGTTTACTGATTAAAAAGTGAATTCAATAATTCATTCGAAAATAACTACATAGGTAAGTAAGTTCGTAACATAAAGTTAAACGGAAACTAGTAAATACACTGTGTGACTCTCATGAAATACTTGACGCTGGCAGAATCCATTGGAAGTTGCCAAACTAAGAAAAAAAAAAAAAAAAGTGAATTCAATTTGATTCAATTTTATTAAAGCTATAGGAAACAGGAATGGCCTTTAGTGAAGTTTGTACAATTTGTTTATGCGTTAATGTTCGCATGCTTGTACTAAAGAAGACTGGTCTCCGAAATTTGTACAAAACATTGACGAACACTTTTGTAAGTTTGTCTTTATTAATATTTCTTAATATTGCAAATTGAAGTTGCGGTTATTTGTTGTTATCGCCGGAGAAATATATTATAACTTGCCTGATATAAAATGCGATAGATCGGGTCTAGACTAAGGTGCAGCGTTAAATATAAATGCAACCAGAACCTGAAAATCAATAATTAGCCTAAAATCTTACTACATACTGGAAGAGACTTGGTTGTTTGCAACACGCGATAGAGCCTGCGGGCTTACGGCTTAGATTATTTACTCTCTAGATAGAGTAACGGCGGCTCAAAAGCGTCGAATAATGGCAGCCATACACGATCAAGTTTACCGTCAAGTTTGCAGTGCGTTTGAAGCGGCGTCAAGTTTGCAGTGCATCCATATAGGCCACACACGTTCAAGTTCACCCGTCAAGTTTGCATGATGCCGCATCAGTTGAAACCATGGCGTCACTAGTGACGGACGACGATGCGTTAGCCATCTTAGGCTTATAAATTATTAATTAATATATTATACACCTAGGGAAACAACTTTCTTACTCAAGCTCAGGCTTGAAAATTACATTAAACGTAGGTAGGGTATTTTTACAATTTTTAATTACGTGCGCGGGTATTACTAATAACAGAAACAGAAACTTTTTTATTTAATATAGATTTTAAATAATACTTATTGAAAGTCACACTTTTGTTTAATTGCTACTGGTTCGAAAAAAAAAAAACCTCTGTCCTGGGAAGAACCAGCAAGAATCCCAGCGAGACTTTTTTTAAATGACAGCTTATATCACCTATGTTACATGAATTAACAACATTACAAATTATTAATAGCTTGGTAGCGATCACCTCATTTCCAGGGGTTATTGTCATTTATAAATTCTTTAATATTATAATAACAGTTCTTATACAAACTTAGTTTAATAAAGTTTTTGAACTTTGAGCATGTCAAATTTTGTATATTTTCTGGAATTTTGTTGTAAAAGCGATTAACAAAAGCGGATAACACTATGCAACACTCAAAAAATCAGTAGAAAATAAAAGAAAACAAACTTATCAAAGATGTTTTATGACCTATAAAACATCTTTGAAACTTATATTTCGTTATCACATCTCAAGACTTCTTACTTTTTACATATATAAAATCTTATTACGAGTAGGTAGTTCACGTTTGCATTAATTTTCCTATCTTTTAGTGAAATAAGTAAAAAAAGTATTTAATTGGTTGCGTTGTATATACGAGTTATATACGAGTATATGTACACTTGCCTGCTGTGGTACAATTTATTTTTTATTTGCCACAAACATGGCTCATTTCTATAAATATTAATGAAGTCGCAGAGGACTTCTCTATAACGCGCAGTATTTTGCGACATGGCGCTCGTCACGTGCGGTACATGCGTACGTCTTCGCTTGCCGAAGCCGACTAACGTCATGCATACTTGACCGCTCATACACACGTTCAAGCTTGATCAAGTCGGCAGAATCGAAATTCAATTTTTGCTTCAAGTAGACTTGTCATGCACACCCACAGCCATACACCGTCAAGTTTACCGAACGCCGCTTCAAGCGCGCTGCATACTTGACGGTAGACTTGATCGTGTATGGCATCCATAAAATATCAGCTAACTGTTAGCCTCTAAAGCGCTCCCCGCTCCTCACTGTCAATTGTAACGCCAAGAGATACGCACGCACGGCCCAGTTTTTGAGGTAAATTATTTTTGTGAAAATGACAAATTGCGCGATCAAAATCTGCAGAAATTATAAAGGACATTTACAAACAACTAACAAAATCTCCTACCATCGGTAGGTAACTCAAAACTAATAGTAGTTTACGAAAACAAAACTAATAAATTGATAATTTTATTTACAAAATCAACGCGTCATTTTTTGGTGCTGCCAGTCTTGGATTGCGAATTTCCCCGTATAGTTGTCTTAAAAGCTGATGTATGTTCATTTTTAATGTTAATTGTCAAAATCAAATGTGACCATTTGGATACATGGTTTTAGGATACCTATTGATCCTATAATTAGAAGTCGATGGATGGACCTAATAAGAAAAAGCCGTGGAGAAGAGTTCTGAAAACCATCCAAAACCACAGTGATATGCTCTGAACATTTCCGTGAATATGAATTTTATTTTGCAAATAGTCAAGGCTGTCGAAGATTGAATAAGGATACGCTACCGAAAAAAGTATGTTTTATTACATACAGGCTCATATATTTAAATTTTAATATAGTTACCATCGCTAGTGTATGTAAGATACACTAGCGATGGTAACTCAGTGGTAAGAGCGGCGAACCTTCAACTTGAAGTACAGTTCATTTCCGAGGGCATTACCTATATGATTCATATTTACTGTGTTCCTGGGGGTGACCTTAGATGCAAAGCTTCAATGGGGCACTCATATATAAACTCTTGCTGGCACAATAATGCTGGACGGAATAATTCTTCTTAAAAGGATTAAACTGTAGAAACGCTATGGGATAAAATTTTACGGTAAGGGGTACCTGCGGGATAAATTATTTAACTATGTCGCAGGTAAAGCCGCGCGCCAACCTCTTGTATTTTTATAAGTCGATACCATACATAAAATAATAAAACATATTTTGTAAATGCGTAGTTAATTTTTATTTGATTATATTTTTATTGTAAAGAATTTAAGATTCTAACTCAACAGACAACTAAACACAATTGAAAGCACCATATTCAAATATTATAATTTATGATTTTATTAACATGACAATTTTTCCCCATTTTATAGGGATAGATTCATTAGCTGGTATCTCCCAGATACAAATGACGCTGGTGTAAGTCATAGTTATTTATTTTGTCACCATAGCAACCGCTAAGCGTGTGTGCGTGTGCACACACACACGCCTGTAAAAACTGGCCTGTTTTTGTTGCATCGCTCATTACGTGACGCGTTATCTAGAGAGTAAATAATCTAAGCCTGCGGGCTTAACTGTTTCTGTTTCTTCCCCGCGACCTGCACTGCTGCATAGAATTTTTCGCGTACATATTAGTCTGTTCTAGTACATATTACTGACTAATACTCAGTAATATGATTTTATGTCAAGAAATTAACATCCACCCTAGTTTAGTCTTCCACTCACCAAAAGCTATTCTATCAGACTATTAAAGTGGGAGATTAGAGTGCACATGTGCATACAGACACAAAAATTCCCTCACTCTCATATTACTAAAGGCAGAAGTATAAGAAGGGAATAATGAGCACATGTGCTTGCTTACACACACATGCAATATAATCCTGCCCTTCACTACTAAATAGTCTCAATTTTGCAGGGAATTCTGTCCATAGGACATTATTATTGTCATGCTGCAGCTATGTATCTATGTGTTACAGGTGGGTCGGTGGCTTAGCTTTCCATTGACTCCCGTCGAGTTGGGGGTTGATATGTATTTTTACAGAAAAGTTACACTATTATAAGCACACACACAAAGTTACAACATGCGGAAATGCGTAATTTGAGAAAAAAGTTATTGAAAATCAATTATTCTTGCATTGTTTATATCTAATCCTACCATAAAACTGACGCCATTTTGTAATGTCATTGTCGTCAGTAGCGATGTCGATTCTTTCCAAAAAGGGTCGATTTTTAAATCGATTTAAATCGTAAGCTGATGTATCGATTCATAAAAAATCGATTTCTAAAATATCTATATTTTTTTATGTTTGCATTTATAATGTAAATATAATTCCATTTTATGAAAAACAAGAAAGATACCATAATAAATGATCTCTTATTGAATTTTGTTTTATTTTAACAGTACCAATTAGGGCAGATAACAAATAAAATAGGTTAGGTTCAACTTATGTCAAAGAACCGAATTGATTGACCCCGACTCCACCTGGTACGAGTCTGTCCTACCCCTAGAGTGGTTTTAAAGAGCCGGAGGCGCGTAGTGGGAGCAGCCTCCGCCTGCTGTAACAAATCGTAGCTACGGAGACGAGGAGGGATACCCGCGATTTGTTACGCTAAGGCGTTGAGGCTGCTCGTCCTGCAGCACCGGAGACGTAGCAGTCTCAAAATAGATACAGAAATCCTTCTGAATCAGTTCCCCTATATTTTATGATGAAGGGGATTTTTTTCTCATAAAGTGGATTTATATTTACATTATAAATACAAACATGGAAAAAATATAGATATTTTAGAAATTGATTTTTTGGGAATCGATACATCAGCTTACAATACGAATCTATTTTAAAAAATCGACCTTTTTCAGGAAAGATTCGACATCCCTACTGACAATAACAATAAAAAAATGGCGTGAGTTTTATTGTAGGATTAGACATAAACAATGTAAGAATAATTGATTTTCGATAACTTTTTTCTCGAAAATTATGTGCTTCCGCATATTGTAACTTTGTGTGTGTGCTTATAATAGTGTAACTTTTCTGTAAAAATATGTATCAACCGCCAACTCAATAGGAGTCAATGGAAAGTCGTACCGGGTGTACCAGGGTGGTACCATGGACCAAACAGAATACCAGCGTAAAATAGCAGCTTAATTCTGCTCTGACTTGTATAGTGAGTGTAGACAATGTTGTGTGTAGTGTAGAGAGAGTGAGATGTTCCGTCTTGGTCCTCAGAGGTGACAGCACATCTTTATTTTGATCCTTAATTAGGATAGATTGTAGATGTCTTTTTTTCTTTATAGGAGAGGGGGCAAACGAGCATGCGGCTCACCTGATGGTAAGTGACTAAAGCCGCCCATAAACAACTGCAACACCAGGGGAATTGCAGATGCGTTGCCGGCCTTTTAAAAAGGAGTAAGCTCTTTTCTTGAAGGTTCCTAAGTAGTATCGGTTTGGAAAAATTGCTGATGGTAATCGATTCCACAAGAAAGTCGTGCCAGGAAGAAAACATCTAAATCGCACAGTGGTGGACCGCCAATCATCCAGATGGTGTGAATGGTATCGGGAGTTCTGCCGCGATGGGCGTTCGTGAAATTTGGCGGCTGGGATTAATCCGAACAATTCCTCAAAACACTCCCCATGGTAAATGCGAAATGCAAAGGCATGCAACATCTCTTCGCAGTGCCAATGAATCAAGCCGATCGGAAAGGACTCGGTCGTCGACGATTCGAACCGCTCTGCGCTGGATGTGGTCAAGTGGAAGGAGCTGGCACTGTGTGCCGGCATGACATACTGTCCCGCTCTGCTGAGCACGCCAAGCCTTTTGTGGTCACTTGGAAGAGAAGGCCAATTTAGCCTTCTCTTCCAAGTAACCACGAAACTGCACGTCACTCTATATGTCGATTCCGATACTGGCTGAGGCAAGAAGGGGAGTGCCTTGAAACTGAGGAGATACGACAAAGGGGTTCTTTTTAGCGGTAAACGCGCAAACTTGTGTCTTCTGAGAATTAAACTGGACTAGATTTAGTCGCCCCCAATCCGAGACTTTGTTCAGCAAAGACTTGACTTCAGACATAAGTTTGTTCCGGTACTCGGTGACGTTTTCCCGAGAAATATTTGCACGGCCGGTGTATAGAGCATCACCAGTGCTGTCATCCACATAGCAATGAATGTTACCAGTTAGCAACATATCATTGATATGCAGAAGAAACAGCGTTAGTTATCACTAACACACAGCCTTGTGGAACACCAGCGTTAATAGGCTTGTAGTCGGAGCATGCACCATCTACAACTACCTTGATGCTTCGATCTGCAAGGAAGCTGGTGATCCAATTGCACAATTTCTCGGGGAGCCCATAGGAAGAGAGCTTCGAAAGAAGCGCTTTGTGCCAAACCCGATCAAAGGCCTTCGCAATGTCCAAACTAATGGCCAATACCTCCCCCTTGGACTCTACTGCCTCCGCCCATCTATGGGTCAGGTAGACCAGAAGATCACCAGCTGATCGACCCCAACGAAAACCGTATTGGCGGTCACTAATCAGCTGGTGATCCTCAAGGTACCGCATGACCTGGCAGTTAATAATGGATTCCACTATTTTAGAGAACAAGGAGGTAATGGCAATAGGCCTGTAGTTGCACGGGTCTGAGCGGTAGCCTTTTTTAGGGATCGAGTGGACAAAGGCTGTCTTCCATGAATTCGGGACTACGCCTTGGGAGTAGGAGTAACGGACCGATGCCTACTCCGGAGCACACATCCTCAGCACAATTGGGGGGATTCCGTCAGGCCCACTCGACTTCTGGATGTCCAGGGAGAGGAGTGCTTTGCGAACCGTGCGCTGTGAGAACAGCACATCCGGCATGGAGCACTCACACCGCGGGATGGTCGGCGGTGTTTTCCCCCCGTCATCAAGATGCGAGTTGGACGCAAAAAGGGAGCCTAAAAGGTCGGCTTTGTCTTTTGCGGCTTGGGCCAGTGAGTCGTCCTCCCTGTGCAGAGATGGTAGTGATGGCTTGAGTTGAAATTCCCTTGGACAACTTTGGCGAGAGACCAGAATGCACGGGTTCCCGAAGGAAGGCGAACTAGTTTCTCGCCAATTCTGCCTATGTGCTCTGACTTTGCCTTGGCAATAACTCTTTTGAAGGACCTGGAGGCGAATTTATACTTCTTTTTAAGTGTACTGGTGTTTACATCCCGAGTCGCCGAAGCCGCAGCCCAGGCTTGATAACACTCCTGCTTACTGTGTAATGCAGTCTTACAGGAGCGACCAAACCAAGGCTGAGATCTGCCTCCGATGGGCACCACAGATGATGGAATAAATAGTTCCATTCCCTGTAGCACCACATCAGTGACAGAGTCAGCAACAGCGCTGGGATCATCCGGCGAGAAGCAAACCCGCCCCCATTCCCATAGGATGAAACAATGAAAGACCGCATTCCGTCCCAATCCGCCGACCTGTAATGCCAAACACGGCGGCAACCTGCAGAACGCAACCGCGAGGGAAGCGTGAGTTGCACCACACTCCGGATCAGACAATGGTCTGAAGAGACGAGAGGATATCACGGAGCACGGATTGATATCCGTGATACCTGATGGTTTCCGTCGATGCCGGAAACCTGATATCCGTGCGGATGAGAGGTCAGCAGAAAGTCCAACAGAGAAGGTGTATGATCCTCCACATCTGGAATCCACGTAGGTGAAGTAACCCCGCATGATTGGTTAAACGTGAATCGAGCCATTCGGCGTGGTGGGCGTTAAAATCGCCAAGGATCACGATGTCTATGGGCATTCACTTACCATCAGGTGCACTGTGTGCTCAGATGTTACCTTTATTGTATAAAAACAAATTTTGATATAAGCCTGTATCCTGGTTTTAAGTCTGTAGTTGTTCTATTTTATTTATTTATCTAATATGTTATGAAATTGGTTTATGGATTGTGCTGATATCACTTGCTGGTGGCTTGTTCTATACTATAACCACTCTTTAGCTAAAATAGGTGAGTTATTAGGTGACACAGCTTTAGTTAATTTGAAGTGATGCCTCTAAGTTGTGTGTTGTTTGAGTACTGGAATAATACTTTTCTTAGATCATAGTGTTTATATGTTTCATTCTCTGTGATCTTTCAGAGTTGTAAGTTTAAGTGGTTTAGACCTTCCTCATATAGTATGTTTTCAATGCTCTAGAAAATTTTCAATATCTGTGTTGAAGCTTAACCAGCAACTCAATATAGTTTGGAATGTATATTCCAAAATAGGTTGATAATATGTTTTATATATTTTTAGTATCATTTCTGGTATTATTATTATTATTTTGCCATAGTTGCCACACTAGGCAGGCTGGTTGTCAACTGCAGTTTTTTTATTATTCTGACCTGTTATGAGGAAAATGCTGCTGCGCCTATCCTTATGAGATAAAATAATCTATTTGTTGGATGGCAAAACCGACTTGGAACTTACTTCATACTGTAATTGATAATAAATTAAAAAGGTTAAAACTGCTAGGGGATGTATGTATATTGTTATTAACTTACATTTGAAACTAAGTGACAATACCCTAATCGTGTGTGAAGCATTACCTCAGTGGTAACATTGCATCTGCAGCCTTTGCTTGAAGTTTGTTGCAGGTGCCTATGGGCTGACGCAGCCACTTACCTTTGGGTGGATTGTAAGTTTATTTGTCACTTCAGTATTGTAAAAAAAAGTGATGCTGATGAAAAGAATTGTGGTAGCCAATAGCCAATAAATTTTATTACAAACTTGTATGTTTAAGTAGTTTTCCATATTTATGACGAAATGTCATATTTTCAGATGGATGAGGTTGAGGAGCCCATAATTGTTTGTTTCACCTGTCATGCAAGACTTGTTCGTTGTAGAAGATTACAAGAACAGGCTGTTGAGTCAAAAGCAGTTCTGGAGCAGTTACTTGCAGGAGAGTCCATGGTATTATCTGTTCCATTCATTAAAACCTACTACCTAAACCTATTTGCCATGCTTAGCAGGTTGGTAACCACAGTGAATATTAGTCTGAGTTGTTATCAGGAAAATGCTGCCACCCAACTCCTGTTTATGTTTCCCTTTGTCGTCTCTTACGACCGCCGTCCCGTGGGTAGGTATATAAGCTAGTGGATATTCTTACACTGTCACTACACGTCCACGGTATTATATTTCTTATTAATAAAAGTTCACTGCTTGAAGAGTCATTACGTGGTGTAGCCTCCATGACAGTATATATTAGTGTTAAGTAGAATAAGTTTAATAGTATAATTAAAGACTTAGTATCAACAACACATCACTCTCATTTAACACTTTTAAAACATTACATGGCGACCCTGCCAGGCGGTGTGCTGCTACAATGCACGCGCACCGCTGGGCCTATTTAATATTAAAAAGCATATATAAATATTATTAAATTAAAGTGAAACAATTGATAAAAAAATATTATAAGGGAATAGACACAATACCAAATGTGACGAAAAATAAATAAATAGAATACAAGAAGAGGCCACAATAATTATTCAATAGAAGCTCTCTGAAAATTAAATGTAATATTAAGACAACTAACCAAGAAAGAGGAAAATAATTTATGGATTTTTTTATATAATGACCAAATACCAAAATTATTCAAGAAATAGCAGATTAATTTTAAAAGGAAAGAAGCAGTTGTAATCTTGAAAGCTTCGTCCAGAATCAGAAGAATGTCAAAATAGAGCCAAGAAGAACAAAGAAAAAAATATGTTTATATTTTTAATATTTTGTATTTAACATAATATGGTAAAGTCGAGTTTATTAATCAGATACTCCACGATTTAATTGATATTTTTATATCTTTCTTAGTGTATCTAAAGAAAAATCATAATGCAATATTAAAAATTAAGTTCCCGTTTTAAGCACTCGTATCATGTTTTTAGGCACAAGACGATTTTATATTAAATTTCATTCAGTTACATATAGTTTTATATTATTTTTATTACTGTGTCTTGAAAAAACGAATGAAATAATATACTAGATTACATTTTTACGTACTTAAATTAGTATGGTTTGGTCATTTAGATATTATTCTTTAATTAAGTTTAGAATAGTTTTTAGGTTTGATAAAAAATAGATAACTTTATTTTTTATTTTGTCGGATGGAAGTGTAGTGTAGCCTCCACAACAGTATAATATATTAGTGTTAAGTAGAATAAGTTTAATAGTACAATTAAAGACTTGTATCAACAACATGTCTCTCTCTCATCTAACACTTTTAAAACATTACAGAAGTATTTGCCTTAATCATCACTTGGCAGGCACCTTGATGATCACTATCTGTCTTGCGCCTTCTATGCTGCTTCCCGTTGCCATATGGGAGAATGTTTTTTCTATTGCAAAGTTAAGTTTATCCTTCAATCCAACTTACTTTTTTGTTAGAACAATGTTCTATATTTTACAAATTACAGTAAGTTGAGTATTTGTTTTTACAAAAATAATTAGCTAACTGTTTATGCTGTTATATATTACTCTATTGTATATAAACGAAATATTATCTATATGTAATATTTCTCAGTAAACAAAGATAGATCTCTGTCAATTTACGACATTCGTGAATCTAATTGGAAAAATTGTTGAGACTATCTCGGGATGGCTGAACTATATACATTCTTATGCAAGTTTATTCAGAACCCTCACTTTGTCCGGTTTTTATTATTTTTGGAGTTGTTGTCAGAAAGATGCTGCTGCCCATCTACTGTTTCAGTTTCCCTCTGTCCCTTTTTATGACATCTGCGGGATGATATGCTAGTATGGATTCTCCTATGGCATCACTACACTGGCTTTATCTCTTATTTAAAAAAAGGATTTGGTTTCAGTCAATACCAAAACCGCATGAGGCTAGAGATAAGATTCAGTTCACACCAATTAGTCATATAGATATCAGGCCAGTAGAGTGTGATATAGATAATGATTGTAAGAACGAAAAGTTTAGCCTTGAATCTGTTAAAGTTGAGGAAGAGAATTTCGAAAATGAGAATTCCAAATTTGAAGAAAGTGGGAATCATGAAACAGGTAAGATATACACATTTTGTGATATTATTAAAATAAACCTACAAGTTACCTAATGGCAAGTGGTTACTGTAGCCCATGGACACAAAATAATATTATAGTGACATATTGGGGTGGATTAGGCCGTGTGTTCCAGACGGGTACCAATTTACTCGACAAGGCGCTTTTAATGCGAACATTACGCATTCTTAATAGAATGGCTGAAGACATTGACCTATTCTGTTGCGCCTTGAGTGAATTCACTAGGGTAAGATTGTTTACAATTTGTTACTGTTAATGACCACATTTTTGTTCTGCATGAAAAGAACTACACTGTCGCATTAGGTTATTCCTGTCATGATAGTTGTTATTTTAAATTAATAAATAATTGTCAACGTAAAATAATGAGCTATATATATTAAAAATATTTTGATCCTTTATAAATGCAGCCAGTATGTATGTCACTTAAGATGGATTAATTTCATAGGAATTAATGATATACTTACAACTGGTAAGCACGTTTTATACGTGGTGAGCCATGCTGCATGCTATATTAGTACTATAGTTGTAGCATGAATGGGTCGGCTCAGCCGGGGAAGGACCACGCTCTCACAGAATACCAGCGTAAAATAGCAGCTCAATGCTGCTGTGTTTCGTATGGTGAGTGTAGAGAACCGGAGACCCTTTTTACTGAAAAAAAAAGGCATTCCAACTTAGTCCTCACGGGTGACAACGCATCTGCATTTTGATTCGCAAACGAGGATAAATGTAGATGTCTATGGGCCACAGCAACCATTTAACATCAGGTGGACTGTGTGCTCGTTTGTCACCCTATCCTATAAAAAAAGCAACTTGTCTTTGCTAATTTCTTTAGGAATGCCACAAAGCACGGGCTTTAGCCATCTACTTTCTGCATGTCTTACCAGGTCGTCACTCCATCTAGTGGGGGACTGCCTTATACTTAGTCTACCGGTACGAGGCTACCACTCGAGAATCTTTCTTCCCCATCGGTTGTCAGTTCTTCGGCCCATTGCCACTTCAGCTTATTACACTTAGTTTATGAAACATGCAGTATGGTAATGAAAATGGGTGGCTCAGGACCATAAGCTTTGTGATGGACTGTAATGATCTAGTCGCTTGAAAAAATATCAATTATTATTTTATATATTGAGTCAGAATCTGTTTCATTCTAGAGAGTGCTGAAAAACAAGAAGACTTGGAGATTGATGCTTTTGAAGATGGACATACAGATTTGGAGGACGACTTGCCACTAATTGCATTTGGTTCACAGGGTAAAAAAGATGACGATGACATTGGTAAATGAATTTATGTTAAAAAACATGTATCAAAAAAATAAAAAAATCACCACAAATTCGTCTTGCATCATGTAGTTGGAGATGTACTATAAATACAAAATTTTGTTTTTTAATTGCTTTAGTCACATCAAGGTTCCACAATAAAATATCGTGCACCCAGCGAAGGGAGCGGTTATCAGCTAGTGTTTAATATAATGGAATTTCGCAATGTAACGCCTGATTCTATTAATAATCTTTTTGTCTTGCCTTACTACGCGGTCGAAGGCACCTCTGCCGATTTTTAACATCCTTCGTGTCGCAAAGACACGCCGACGCGACGCCTGATAACAACGACATACTAACCTAATAATATAATATCAACTACGTAGTGATATTAATAATGTATAATAGTAATTCAATAATGTTAATGTTAATAATGAATTTAATGTTAAGGTCAATTTTACTTTCAAAGTCATATATTTTAATTTGCATGTTTAATTTTTAACTATGAAATGATAAATTATGTATATTGTGTTGGCAATAAAGGCTTAAATGTAAGTGTAAGTATTCAAATGAATGTACATCTCGAGAATCGTAGCCTATTTATTTAGACGTTTGGCGCGTAAAAAATAAAATGGCCTAGCGCTTGACGGGTTAGCAAAAATCAATATTTAAGGTTAACTGAGAGGTGTAGCCTAATGCTATATTATTCCTATACTATTCCTCATGAAGAAAACCATTCCACTATATTATATTAGTATAGGTTACAAAGTTATAATGCAGTTGTTGTATTATGTTCATGTTATTTTTATGTTTATGTCATATTCTCTTACTCCTTTGGTGTCGTTCCAAGCTTATGGAAGACAGCGTTAGTGCATTCGATTCCTAAAAAAGGCTGGGACCTATCCAACTACAGGCCTATCGCCGTCACCTCCTTGTTCTCCAAAATAATGGAATCCATTATTAACTGCCAGCTCACGCGGTACCTTGAAGAGAATAAGCTGATTAGTGACCTTCAATACGGTTTCCGTCGAAGCTGTTAGGATCGATAGGACGTGTATGTGTGTATAAATACACACATACACGCTTACAAAATTAACTATTTTATGGGTGCCGGTGGAGACCGCACCTGGGTTGCTAGCGTACTGTGAAATTTTACGGCAAACCCCTAGCCCCCGAGCTACCGGGCGTAGTTTTGAATCTTTGTATGGCCTACAAATAATTCCTCTATCTTAATTTTCCCCTAAACTTTCACTGCTGAACATGCAAGGATCTCTCCCGGTGTAGGGAGGATTTGCCTTGAGCGTCACGCTTGGCACAGGATTGACGATGGCAGAACCAGACGTGAGCAGCTCTGGCAATGTTGCCTGGCGCCGGTCTGGATATTTTACATCTGAAGTAAACGAGGTGGTTATACCAGCATCTGTCGGAAGCCATCAGATTTTTCTGGCAAACCCATAGTCGCCTCTTACGAAACCCACGGGACAAAATGTGATGATGAATTCTCTTATGCCGCACTTATACGCCAACTTTGACTGTACTGTGTGTATAACACTAGTTCTGTGGAGTTGTGAAAAAAGTGGAATTCGAAACAGCGATTATTAGATTAATGAAATTCTAACATGGTCAGAAGAATCATTCTTTCCCTCCAAAAATGATTATGAGAGACATTATTCGGAGTAATTGGATAAAATACTTAATATCTAGCAACGTAATTTAGTATAATTATCTAAAATAATATAATTTCTCTATTTCTCCCTGGGTTAACTGATAGAGAATGCCATAAGGCATAAACTCCGCCCATTGTAAACCGTTTAAGGGGTTTTGCAATAAACATGCAATAACTTACAATAAATAAAAAGTTTAACTTCGACAAATAATTTTTCAGAAATTTCTGAAAAGAAGATTAAATCAAATTCTACTGATTATAACATAAACGATGTTCGTGGAGAAAACCTCGATTTTGAAGGCCCTCCTATTGAATCAAACCCTAAAATTAAAAAAGATAATCAACCAATTAATAAAAAAGGAAAGCATCCTGCAAAGGTAATGAAAAAGAAAATTTTGCAACAAAAGAGTGTAACTATATTTAAGAAAAAGACATCTGGGACATCAACTAAATACATTTTTGAATGTTATGGTTGTAGTAAAAAATTTCCAAGAAAAGACATTCTTGCTAAACACATTTCATACAGTCATAAGACGCAAGAGAACTCGGACACTACTACACTTCGGACACAAGTAGAACAAACTCCAGTACCACAACAAACAGAAATATTTCATTGTGATTTTTGCGAATTTAAAACTTCTCAAAAACGTTACATTTTGACACATCTTAAAGCGCACGTCGCTAAGCAAATGTACTGTTGTAATAAATGTGAATATAAATGTATTAGAAAAAGTAAGTTGCAAACACATATGAAAATACATACCGGAGAAAAACCTTTTTCGTGTAATGTCTGTGAATATAGATGTATTACAAAAAGTAGTTTGCAAAAACATATGAAAATACATACAGGTGAAAAAGCTTTTTCGTGTAATATCTGTGAATATAAATGTATTAGAAAAAGTGATTTGCAAACACATATGAAAATACACACCGGTGAAAAACCTTTTTCGTGTAATATCTGTGAATACAGATGTATTAGAAAAAGTGATTTGCAAACTCATATGAAAAAACACGCTGGAGAAAAGCCTTATTCGTGTAATATCTGTGAATATAGATGTATTACAAAAAGTCATTTGCAAACCCATATGAAAATACATACTGGAGAAAAACCTTTTTCGTGTAATATCTGTGTATATAGATGTATTACAAAAACTCATTTGCAAACCCATATGAAAATACATACTGGAGAAAAACCGTTTTCGTGTAATATCTGTGAATATAGATGTATTACAAAAAGTCGTTTGCAAACCCATATGAAAATACATACTGGAGAAAAACCTTTTTCGTGTAATGTCTGTGAATATAGATGTATTACAAAAAGTAGTTTGCAAAAACATATGAAAATACATACCGGTGAAAAACCTTTTTCGTGTAATATCTGTGAATATAAATGTATTAGAAAAAGTGATTTGCAAACACATATGAAAATACACACCGGTGAAAAATCTTTTTTATGTAATATCTGTGAATATAGATGTATTAGAAAAGGTAGTTTGCAAGCACATATGAAAATACACACTGGTGAAAAACCGTTTTCGTGTAATATCTGTGTATATAGATGTATTACAAAAAGTCATCTGCAAACCCATATGAAAATACACGCTGGAGAAAAACCTTTTTCGTGTAATACCTGTGAATATAGATGTATTAAAAAGGGTAATTTGCAAACACATATGAAAATACACACCGGTGAAAGACCTTTTTCGTGTAATATCTGTGAATACAGATCTATTACAAAAGGTACTTTACAAAAACATTTAAAAGCACACACTAGAGCAAAACCTTTTTCGTGAGCTATCTGGTAAAATATGTACAATATTGTGTAAACGTGTTTTACATAAATATGCGTGTACCAGATAAAAATCTATTTTTTTGTTAATTTGAGATGTAATTGTATAACGAGTAGAAAAACCTTCCCGTGCCTTATGTGCAAATTGAAACTGCATTTGTTCTGAAGAAGTTAATTCAATACCTAATGTAAAATTTTGTACAACTGAATTCAATATAAATTATTAAGAATAATTCAAAAACAATTGGTCAGCTCTTGATCAAATTTATATGGGATCACATGTTAAGCACCAGCTTTCAAATAAAAAAAGAATTACCGAAATCGGTACATGCAGAAAAAGTTATGAGGTAATAAACATAAAAAAAGAACATGCAGTCGAATTGAGTACCTCCTACTTTGTGAAGTCGGTAGAAAGCAAAAATATTGGAACCTTAAAGTAAATACCGAATGTGTGAATGGAGGTTAGTGGAAACAGACCCTTTTTTTTATTTAAATGACAGCTTCGACCTTTTTCTTTTTTCGCCTCGATGTTTATGATTACCTTTAAAACTACTATATTATATGTCATATTTTCCATAGATGCCATGCAGGTGGGTTGGTAACCGCGGTTTTTTACTATTTTCACTTGTAATCAGGGAGACGCGGCTGCCCATCTTGTAGTTTGTTTCCCTCTGTCGCCTCTTACGACACCCACGGGACGATATGGGGTAGTGGATTGTCTTACACCATAACTATATCACGATATGATGCTGTGTGGTGGTGTCTGTCTATACGTGGTAGAGCCACGCTGCAGCTATATTATGGTTGTAACACGAATGGATCGGTTCGACCGAGAGACCGCGCTCTTAAAGAAGTCCAGCATAAAATAGCAGCTTTCGTGAGAAAACAGTGTTTCGTATGGTGAGTGTAGAGAACAGGAAACACTTTTTACTGGTAACGAGTTATTCCTTCTCAGTCCTCATGGTGACAACGCATCTGCATTTTATTTCTCAATTTAGGATAAGGATTCTTAATAGATGTCCATGGGCCACAGCTGCACAGCATTCACTTACCTACCATCAGGTGTGTGCTTGTATGTCCCACTTATTCTATTTAAAAAATCGATGATTATCTCAGATCCACACCGGCTTGAAACCATTCAAGTGTGAGGTGTGCGAGAAATTATTTAAGGATCTTCACGAGAAGCGGCTCTACTTTACATACGTTAATTTGAAGAAGCCGTGACTGTAACGCGCGAGAAATAAGTCGCCGAAGTCGCGACAGGTCAGTATTGTTACATGCGGAGTGAGTAAAATTGTAGATTAAAGGTCGCTGCATACAGGACGGAATCAGCACGTTCACGGGACGGAAACGGAACGTGGTTGTATCTCCACACGGACGGGAGTTTAATGCATACGCAACGTGAGCGACTCCAAGCTAACGTGCTAGTGTGAACGGAACAAGAAAACATCGTCACCGACGATATTTTCTCGTTCCGTTCACGCCACGTCCCCGTGCCGACCGCGCATCCATAGCGTATGCATTTTCACGTACATTTCTATGGAACGATATTTCCAAAATTTGACGTCCCGCTCCGTCCGGAATAAAACACAATACGTATGCAACGACCTTAAGATGAGATATGGATGTATTCTTCCACACAGTCCGCAAGTATATAATGATTCGGTGAGGTCCTTAATAATCGCAGATGTCGTCGGTCGAATTCTCGTAGTCACTCCCCGAATTAGAGTCAATGTGCCTATAATCGTTTTAATAATTAATGGTTTTAATCTTATTCAAAACGACTATATCAAATATAAAAGTATGATAGTTAAACAAAAACAAAAATTGTTTACAAAACGGTTTTTAATTTATATGGAGTGGCAAATAATTCCAGGAAGTATTTAAGTAGCTTTCCTATTCATATGTGGAGCTGGAATAAAGTTTAATGAAAAAAATAGCATAAAACTAAAAAGGATAGCATATAAACATGACATCATAAACTGTTACTTTTGTTTTTAAATCAAGCAATCGTTTAGGCCTCTTTTAAAGACACCTTGATAACCGAAACCATATCTGAAGCACTATTGTGACACAATGCAGCTATATTATGGTTGTAGCACGAATGAGTCAGCTCGACAGGGAAAGAACCACGCTATTACAAAATGTATCAGCATGAAATAGCAGCTTAACGCTGCTCTGTTTCGTGTGCTGAGTGTAGAGAACCGGAGACTTTTTTTACTAGTACTGTAGCATTTCATCTTAGTAGATCTACTGGCTCATTTCTCACCCTTCATCGTCATCATCATAGTTACATCCTATCAAGGTACACCCGCGGGATGATATTGCCATCATGCGGCGGTTTAAAAGAACTTTACTTTCTCTTAAATACCTTCCTCGTTGTCTTGTATAAACATGCCTCACAGAAAACTTCAAATATCTCGATGCTTAACCATCTTCAATAACATTAATTTATCGTTTTTACAGCACTCGCCACATTGATTTATATGTTACACTAGATAAATAATTCCCGCGCCAAAGCGTTGCCACTTCACATATTATGGCCACAGCCATATGCCCAGATAACGTCGGTTTAGTGTTCAATGTGATGCCGACCGAGTTAAGCCGAACGATTCACGACAAAAAATGGGTAAATTTATGCGTAGTGGAAGAATGCGATTCAAGGTCACAAAAATATAATTAATCAAGCGGAATCACTTTCCACACGTAAGTTTTATTATTTAGTTTATGTTTTCATATTAACGCAAAAAACACAAAAAAATGATATAAAATATCGAATATTGCAATTTACGTTCAATGTTGCCACTGGTCTTTGCAATTTTCCCACATTACACTACTACTATAATTTATGGAATAAGTTAACTTGTTAGCCCTGATTTTAAATATTTTGGAAATTGTAATAAAAATTATGTTTCAACCTTTATACAAAGAAATTAATTATTCTTATTTTAGAATATTCATTAATGATATATTAATTATAATTTATTACCTATTTCATATTAATAATTTTGCAGGGTACTTAAAGATGCAGTACACCGTAAAAAGTAGGTGGAAATAAAACGATTGCTGAGAAAGGAGACTCACTGGGTGCCTTCGAAATCTACTCCCATTAGTTCTAAGCACTTCCGGGATCAAGACAAACTAGGACCAAAAAGCGATGGCGACTGTGTTCATTTAAGCGGATTAGTACTACAGATTAACACCATTTAGTATTATCTTACAAATTTATTAATAACCACAGTTTTTGTAGCTAATGTCATGAGACCAAATTTAGGAGACAAAGACTTGCCGATGCTTTCACAATTCATGCATATTTCAAACTCAGATCTTCTTGGTTAAAAAACCCAAAATTGATTTTATTACTTGATTTATATTTTGTTTGATTTATTGGTACAATAAAAGATACTTCGAAAAAAAATCTTTCATTACTTCTATTCATCGGATAAGCAAAGATACATATTTAAAATAAAAACAACTGCAGCTTAAAAAAAACTCCTTTTTATTGCTTATTTTAGGTAAAGTTTTGTATAGTAGGCAAACCAACCCGTCATTGAATCTTTA